TCTATGCACTTTTAAATAATTATGTCTCTGCCTTAAACAAGCAGCAAAAGCCGTATGGGCGTTCTTTTCTTTGCCCACCCGGAAAGAGAAAACGAATTTAAGAAAAAACTAATGTCACTTCACTTCACGATGTATTTTTTTCGGGAGCAGTATGTCTCGCCGCTAATTTCGCCGCTAATATGAATAATATGAATTACTTTGTAATTCATATTATTCATATTGTTTCTTAATGGTAAGTGTTTTTCCAAATTCAGAAAGTGTTTTTATTCATATATTTCCATAATTTACATGAGGATTGATTTTGTTTTCAGATGAAACATTTTGCATCATTCGTACGGAATGGCGAGGGCCAAGCTTAATTTGTTTATAAAACGGTAAGAACCTTTCGTTTTACATTTTTTCATTTGTTGTAAGCCATGTGCTAACCTACGGAATGTTTATTTTCAGCCAAAGGCGTTTTTTTGGTTTTATTTTAACTTAAATTTCAACAACATCATGGGAAAATAACAAACCCCATGATGTAAACAGCAGTGAGATCGGCCATCCTTAAATATTTTCAACACCAGACATAACCTACACAGATGCAGCGAGGTCGGTAACATTCCAAATTTATAGTTGTACCAGAACCCGTAAAGGTAAATTTTCATTTAATTCTTGGTAGAGTCATAGTATATAATAGTTTCTAAATTTAGAATTAACCTTTTTGGACTTGAATTTCAATATATTGACAACCCAAAATGAGTATGGATTTGCATTAAACCCCCTTTGCGATTAATAGTTCAATGCTTTCCCGGCTAATGTGGTAGGTCTGGCGCCCGAGTATTCTATTTAATTAATTTCGGCCTATCCATTTCAAAAATTTATTTTCTATTATTACAATTGGCACCATTTCATTTTTTTACTATTACAGTATCGATTTCACTTCATAAAAACATATGATTGCAGTAGAAATTTAATTTCAAAAATATTTTTTAGTCTATGCTTTTTAAACACTAAACTCGTTGTTCGCCACATCCGCCATGATTGTGATGTCTCTTTGGTAGTAAACATCTAAATGTCGTTCGCGTGTTAATGTGGGTGGATTCTTTCGTCTGACTAAATTTATCTTAAAACACTTTTAACAATACTCCATGTCGTTTTCCAACTAAAAGATATGTAATTTATTAGAATTCATGTTTACGAGTTTTTGTTTACTACCGGTTGACGTCATAGCATAAATAATCTATAGACTTATTTTTCGGTCTAAAAGAACATTTATTAACCATTGAAAACCTTCTTCCAAACACGGTTTCCAAACGTCGGTAGGTACACAAATGTGGAAATACCAATATTGTGACAAAAATCTTCAACTTTCTACTAATACTTTAAAGTTTCTTTTATTTATGAGTCCAGCAATTCCTAAGGCTGCCCTCGAGCACAGACCTTCCCTATTGATGGAATAGGGAAATTGGGGCATGATACAACACACAAGCCCGACAAAAAACACAAGAGATAGGTACAGAAAAGAGAAGGTATGTAAATTATAGAGCCTGAATCAGCATAACCAATGTTTCAGGCCAAACCCATTCTACAGTAATAACATACATTTATATAGGTCTTTGATATCTTGCAATACCTTTGAATCTACTTATTTTTGCAATATGGTAATTAATTCAAGTCTGTTTTTTTTAAATATCTGCTTTAATAAAAACGCAGAAGATACTAAGTTCGTACAGCCACATCTTTGGTATTTTTTATTGTTTATGATTTATAAGTGTTACCGGCAATCTGAATTATCTGTCACTTTTTACAATACCTAGGCAATCTATAAAATGCCTAAAACATCAAGGCAATGTATGAAATATTATTCATTTATTACTTTGCCTAGGTATTATATTTCTCTACAATGCCGAATGCGCAGTCGCCGATGTGTGTGTTTGTAGTACTTACTGTCGCACTAATCGCTAGTAGAATTATTTGCCTGCGCCTCACGCACGTGTTCCTCTCTTCCTACAATTTGGGGTTCTTTAAGAGACGTGAAGAAGCAGCAACATCAGGTGTGGTAGAGACGTTTGCCTACCTAGCTATAAAAAATAAAGATAGGGAGTTGACTTTTCTTTGTTTTATTTTTCTATTATCTATCAGGTGGCTGGCGCTAAGTGTTGGTCACAACACTTATTTTGCGTGGGCAAATGCGTGACGGATAGGTGCTCATTAAAAAGTGAGCGGGTTATGTAGGACTCTCCACTGCCTACCCACTAGACGAAAACAATAATTTCTCCTAGTCGGCAGGCACGGGCTAACCGACTAAAACTCCACGGTGTTACATCGATTCCACGACCCAGGAATTGAAGTAAGAGCCAGGCCATGTCTTCGCAAATTCCACAGACATAGATATAGACAGAGTAATGGCTTCTCTGTCTATATTCGCAGTAATTCGCACCCATCTTCATTGCGGTTTTCCGTTCTACTCCATCGGGCGGCGACATACCAAAACCTACTCCATCGACCGTGTCGCCGGCGAGACAGATAAGGGAACCCCTAATAATGTTGGCCCTCTCGCATTTATACTATTTATGTTCAATGTTAGTCCCATAAGTGGAAATTAGGTCCACTTGCAGCAATTTTGCTAAATCTCAATTTAACTAAAAAATGATTTAGCGCGATTGTAATGAGATTTTTCTGTGTTAAATCTAATTGTAGTTGAATCGAGATTTACACTCACTTGAAACAATTTTTCTAAATCTCGATTAGACCCATAGAAAAATCAGAAAACATCAATTTAACATTGACGAATTACCGAATGGGCTAAATCTAGTTCTACTTAAATCGAAATTTAGCAAATTTGCTGCAAGTGGGCCCTAGTGAAATTGCTGCAAGCTTAGATTAAAACAAAAAGGGTAGATACGGTACGCTCATACTTGCATCAAACAAAAACTGATCCCACTTTACTACATATGCAACACTCACACATCCACATGTTTGTAAAGATACAATCGAACGAACGAAACAGCAATTTAAGTTTCAACGGCAGCGCGAACGGGACGCCGAGATCCGCGTCACTGCATTACCGACCCGAACGAAACAACACGTTAAGTTTTAACGGCAGCGCGAATGAGACGGCGAGATCCGCGTCACTGCACTACCGACCAATCACGCGACCAGTACTCGACGTCACTACCGAATAAGTTTCAAAACAAACAGCATTTTTATAAAAAAATATATTTTATAGTACTTACGAATGAAAAGTGATGCCGTGGGTTTTATTTTTAGTCCTTGAGAAATTTGACTTTTTAAAAACACACTTAGGCATTGTTTTATCATATAAACACAAAATATTACCAATATTACTTTTTGGCGTTCACATGTGTACGTCGTTTGCATGTCAAGTTGTGACTAAAGCGCTGCTAAAGCGATTAGGGTCGTGGACCACAATTTATGTGGATCACTTTTGTGAGGCTAGTGCTGTATCTACCCTTTTGTTTTAATCTAAGGCTGCAAGTAGACCTTAAAGGTTGGCGTCCACCAGGTGAGCAGCATCGGGTCGCATCGAAACGCAAAAATCCGCTTGCTATACATTTTGTTTTAGGTAAGCCCGGTAGTCCCCGCCTCTTATTGTTACATCATTTTTTTATGTTTACTTAAGTAAATCCTGATTAAAAATGGTACGTCTTTGTTTGTTACAACCATGACAGCGTTAAGCCGGGTCTCCTGCGCCGATTTTCTTACAAAACATGTTAACAAAATTCAGTTGCAGTCTGCAACTGATATCAGCGCCTTTACTGTCGAGTGGCCAGGGCGAGAACTAACGAGTACCGTCATTGCAACAGGCACTTTGTGGGTGTATACCGTAATAAATACCAGTATACTGGCCAGTGTTCTTGACGTCATGAATTGACGCTATACTGGTGAATTGTTCCAAAATATATTGCACTGGGCACTGACTGGGCAAATATCAGTGCACTGGGCACTGACGTCATAAATCGACGAAATATTAAAAATAGTGCGATTAAAGAAAATTTTTATTCACCTTATCAATTAAAAGGAATTCTTTTTGTACAGATGCCATTATTGTTCTTTAAATAAAAAAGAATAAAATTCGAATGTATCTCAGGCACGCTCGGTCATACGTCATATCCGTTTTCCCGGTAAAATTTGGTAGCATACCAGTACAATATGGCGTCGGATCGTGACGTCATTAGCACTGGCCAGTATACTGATGTATATTTCGGAATACACCCTGAATTTGCTGCGTGGAATCGAACCCAGCGAAGTGCGCGGAGGTGAAGTGAGGGTACACAATCAAATATCTCCCACTGTATTCGAGCTTTTAGCGCCTTGATATAATTTCTTTTCATTCCGACCTATTGCGATTTGTAAGTTTGTAGGAACTTTGGTTTATATTGTGTGGTTGTCCGTACACATACTCCAATTATCGCATAAGAAGCTTGTAAAAAGTGCCAAACTTTGGAGAGTTGACTAAAATATGTGGGTAAATATTTCATTGCATTGCATTGAATAGTTGCGCATTTTGCAGCTTCAGTTAGTCAGGTCCACTTGCAGCAATTTTGCTAAATTATTGTAGACATTGAAGTTTTGTCATTTTTCTATGGGTTTTAAATCGGTTAAATCTGATCTCATTGTAGCTGAATCGAGATTTATTAAATTGCTGAAAGTGAACCATAATGTTGTAACATCATAAACGAAAAAAAAAATTTTTAAAGTTAACCCTGTTTAAAAATGATACGCCTTCTTACAGACATGACAGCGTAAAGCCAGGTCTCCTGCGCCAATTTTGTAACAAAACATATTGACAAAAGTAGTTTGATCCCATCGCCGTTAGCAAAACTGTTAGGCGACGCCCCTAATCGGTTAGCAAACAATGTGATCGTGATAACAAACACGAAAACACTGTTTTAGGTTTAATTAAACTATTCCACGACGACGAATAAGGCGGATTATTTTTATTAATTTTGTTTGACTTATACTTTTCGTATCAAATTGAGATAAAAAAAGCAATATGACTGTATTAATACATTTATTTACACACAAAACATTTTGTTACTTCTACCTTCGTAATTTCCAAATCTTAGCAACAGACGCCTACTGACTAGTATAAAATATTTATTATTTTCTTTATTGGTAATGCCCTATAGCCTATTTTTATATGTTAGGCACCCTTATCAATATGGCGTGCCACATGCTTGCCATTTATTTGCTAATTTAGCATATTAACTAAACATTAAAATAAATCACTTATATACATATCAATATTAGAGCGTAATCAATAACATAAAATTACAAATTACACCAGAAACAATTACATTATTCTTACAATAACTATTTGCACAATAAATTTGAATTAGAAACTTACAGTCTACCACAAAAAAGCTAGATACGGTTTAAAACCTTGTTTAGGCAAATTTTCTATGACGTTTTTTCTCAAACTCTGACTTTTTATGGTAATAAAGTTACGGTTCTACCACATAAATAAAGACACATAAACGCAACCTTTGTATGACGTTTTCTACTGAAACTCTTGAACGCTTGTCTATCTTTTTTGAGGTAATATCATATATTTTTAAATTAAGCACTAAACCACAAGATATTTATACCAAAATATATTTTCTATGTAATTCTTCTTAAATTATGTCTACATAAGTTATTAAAGTAATGCAAACAAAACAGTGATGTCGATTCTGGCATGATTCTCTAAAGCTAAACTTAAATTTGACAACAGTGCATCCTTGTCCTTCTCTATACAGAATGAAAAGGTGAGACTGACCTTAAATTTAGTTTTAGGTTTAGAGAATCACGCCAGAATTGACACCAGTGTGTTACTAGTACAAGGTTACTTTTCGTTTATTGATAAGATAACGTTATAATTGCATATCTGTAATTCCTAAAGTGGCCCAATTCTGGCAAAATTCTATTAACGTAAACCTAATTTGAGAGTCTCTTATTTTATTACATTCTTGATATACATACATACTACTGTCAAATTTAGGTTTAGGTCCAAGTTTTTGACTAAATTGCTAGGTAATAAATACACATTACATACCACACCAGATTATAACACCTTATTATTAAAAATTATATGTAATTCTATAATATAATTCGTGATTGCTTTAAAGTTTTCTTTATTACTGAAAGGTTATTACACTCATAAGATACAAATACTCATTAATATTTAACCACAAATAACGCCTTTGTAACCAGGTTTTAAAGTTCAAACTTGTATTTACCATTGAGATCTTGTCCAAGCATCTCTAGAATAATAATGTTTCATGCAAAATGCTGCATAGTTCATGATTTGTTTCATTTTATTTCTAATGAGTGGTTTGCACTCATTAGAAAGTCATACATCATTTCTTCGCAAGGGGATCGTTCTGTGGCTGGGAGCCATAATATTGCCACAGCTCCATTGCTTTCAGTGCGATAACTTCCTCATATTGCTCTGGTATCTGGAAAAAGTGAAATAATCTTTTTTATTGATCATTTGTAAATAATTAATCTCTATTAAATATGTAGAAGAATAGAGATATATGTAAATCAATGATGAAATAAATTTATCTCTTTTTGTTTAAAGCTATAACAAAAAAAATGTGGTGGTTAAAAAGTCTGGCATGTAAGAAGCCACAATGACACAGGGCGAGTTTACAACCTACAAGCCAGCGAGTTCGCTAGCAGCTTGTAAACTCACCCCGTGTCATTGAGTAGTAGATTATAGCTATTAACGGGATTGTTACCATGTACCTTATTTTTTATGAGTCTCCGATATTTCGGCACTGTTGCAAGCGCCATGATCACGGAGTTAAGTTTAGTTACTACATAAAAAACAAGGTACATGGTATCAATCCCGTTAAAAGCTATAATGTTAGTCACCATGAGTAGTACATTGTAAAAAAGTCAATGACATGGGGCAGGCTAGCGAACTGGCTGGCTTGTAGCTTGTAAACTCGCTCTGTGACATCGAGGCTGTAGACTGGCAATGCTATAATGTTACTTTTAATATAGAAGTGTTGATTACTTCAATTTCAGGCTTTTTTGTGTTAATTATACAATACCTGCTTATAAATAATGCAATAAATTTTAATGTTTCATTATTGGTTATAATATTGAATTGGCAAACCCATCTTTAAATTATTTCAAATAGTCAAACAAAACTCACCTGTGAAACGCATTTTAGAATTTCTTGTACCGATTTCGCCTTTAAAATGTTACGTCTCAAAGTTATAATAAGCATTACGGCGACAAATGATAGTATTTTCGGCGCACCACTGCACAATTTATCCCAGATTCTGAAATATGGATAAGAAAGTTAAATTATAAGAAGAGTAAGCAAAACTTAGACAAATATTGCTTATTACTAAAACATGTTGATAGATGATATGATTTAATTTGACAGGTCAAAAATACCCCGCCAGTAAAGTCCACCTCTGGTATATTTAAGGGAAGACGTCCCAAAGACAACGTATCATCTAGAGGTGATTAACCAAGAACATGTATTTTTGCTCCAAAGCATGTAAAAACCGTTCCAGAGACCTGACTGCCATCAGGGTCATATGTGATATATATTTCAGGGGCTTCCAAAGGTAGTCTTAGCATCCGTTTACCTACTGGGTGACAACGACATCCCCACCTCGGAACTGGAAAGGCTAGTAAAACACTGTGAGCGGGAAGGACTGGAAATCATCATCGGTGCTGACTCTAACGCACAGCACACACTATGGGTCAGCACTGACACCAACAACAGAGGTGAGTTTTCAACCTATCTCTTTTCAATTAACTTAAAAATTATTAACAGGTGCGCTGAACCAACCTTTGTAACATCAAGAGCCCAGACAATCATCGACCTAACCATGACTAGTGAGACATTTGCTCAATTCATTACGAACTGGCATGTATCGGATGATGCATCCTGCTCGGACCACAGATGGATTACCAACCAACTAATAATGAAACCACCGGAAAATAGAATGCTGGAAGCGCTTTTGTTACGACATCGAAGACAACAACCAAGCCAGTAGGGTAAAGAAAATCCTCAGTAGCAAACCGGAGCGTAACTTAGGATATCTTAGAAATGTTGATAATACCTTCACCAAAACCGATGCTGAGACCTATGAATTGCTGATGCAAACTCACTTCCCAGGCAGCACCACCAGATGTATGTTCCTAGAATGGGATGATGAAGTAGCGCACAATCCAGAATCAGCATATTGGGACAGCGCACATTAAATAGTCAAATAATATTAGCATGGGTAATTTAAAGCTTCCTCCCTTTTAAAGCGGCAGGCCTGGATGATATCTTTCCAGGACTCCTGTAATGGTGCGGAGTGTCGGTACTTGGACATCTAAGAATTTATACGGGATGCCTAGCCTACCAGTACAAACCAACCAAGTGGAGAGAAGTGAAAGTCATCTTTATACCTAAACCTGGTAAAAGTGACTACACGCAGCCCAAAGCCTTCAGACTAATTAGTCTCACATCTTCGCTCCTAAAGGTACTAGAAAGGATGTGCGACAGAAATCTGAGAGACAGTGCTCTGAAGCGTGTACCGCTGCACACCAATCAGCATGCCTACAGTATGGGCAAATCTATCATATCTGCCTTACACAGCGTAGTCACACAAATAGAGCGCGGACTACTACCAAAACAATCAACCCTGGGGGTCTTCATAGACATTGAAGGTGCCTTTGATAAAACCAACTGCTGTTAACAGCATAGGCCAAGCACTGGTGAAACATGGCATTGACCTTACAAGAGCGGGATGGATCAACAACATGTTGAAATACAGAGCGATACAAGTGACTGTAAACACTATTATGAGAGCAATAGTAGCTAGAGGCTACCCGCAAGGGAGAGTACTACCTCCACTCATGTGGAACATTGTAGTTGGCGAACTAATTTGTCAGCTCAATGAACGCAACTTCTACACAGTCTGCTATGCGGACGACATAGTGATTCTCACAGGCAAGCCGTTTCAAAACGTGCTATGGAATCTAATGGGAAATGCTATCAAACTAGTAGAAAACTGGTGCAACAGACATCAGATTTTAGTCAACCCCACTAAAACGGAGATGGTCACGAGAAAACGCACATTGGACGTAGTTAAACTACCCAAGTTATTTAACACCAAACTGTCGCTAGTGAGGTCAAATACCTAGGTGGGTTTCTTGATCAAAAGCTAACGTGGCACAATCACCTTGACAATAAGGTAAACAAAACCTGTATCACATTTTGGCAATGCACACGACTCCTAGGGAAAACATGGGGCCTTGCGACGAACTGCGCCTATACACAGATGGATCAAAAAATGACAACGTTTGGGTCGGGTGCGGTAGTTTCTCACTAGACCTTAACATCCATATATCAACAGCCCTAGGTAAACACAGCTCAATATTTCAATGTGCGTGTACAGCCATTTCCCAGGCCGCCACCGCAGTCATCAACAGAAAAGTCAGAAACTATAAAATACGTAAACTTTCTGATAGTATGGGTGTCCTAAACGCTCTAGAAAGCAACAGCAAAGCCTCAGGGCTAATTTACTGGAACGAATGGCAGCAACCAACAGTGTCATCCTGCAATGGATTAAGTGACATAGCGGCTCAATGGAAAATGACGCAGCCGACGACCTGGCGAGAAGAGGGTCAGTGGAGATTGTGGAGGCCCTGAGCCCCTGCTACCAATACCCTTCCGCCAAATTCGTACTTGGATGCGCCAACGAATCGTATAGATTCACAAAACCCGATGGGACAATACTGAGGGCTGCAGTCAATCTAAAGAGATTTTCCTTAGTCAAGTCTTAAAGTAACCCGAAAATTACTAAAATTTAACTGCATAGATCTCCAAGTAATGTTAGGCACAATAACAGGGCACTGCCCACATAACAAACATTTACTAACTATACATGTTACAGATAGCTCTCTGTGCAGAGGATATCTGGTAGCAGATGAAATACCTGTTCAAGAAATCCTGGAATGCATGAGTGAAGCAGAACAAAGGGCATTCATCCTAGAAGCCTGTGAGAGTCCCAGGAGGCAACTGCACTTCTGGAAGAAACTTGGCTGGCTGAACTAGCTGGTCCCACAACCCTGCACGCACAATGGACCAAATCGAGCATCTACGTGCAGAAACGGGGGCCCACCACCACAAGTAACAAGTAGCACCCACCTATACACACTTGGCCCACGTGGTAGGTCATGGCCCAATCTCCCTATTCCATCCATAGGGAAAGCCTGCGCCCCAGCAGTGGGGGAATTATATTTGCAGTGCAAGTGTATCAATTGTTTAAATAAACTCTTTCTTTTATTGTAACTGAACTCACTTGGCCAACGAAGTATCATCCAGAACTCCAGCAAAACAGCAATTGTACCATTTTAGAAGTGGCAATTTTTCCAGTGCATTCAACTCAACTAGATGGCTAAAACAAATTTAATATTTTAAAGTAAATTTTCATCAGAAATAAATCCACTTGAGGTTAGGATGGATGCAGTAAAATTTTCTTTAGATTTATAATTCTGGCAGTTTAATGCATAAAATGACAATATAATGTTGAACTTTTATTTATTAACTTGAAAATTGTTTCATGCATTTCACATAGTAACTCAGATATATTGTTGAAAAAATACTTGAGTAAAATAAATCACACCAGTGACTATTTTATTATTAAATTTTGTAAATTAATGGTTTTGCTGCCTTTCAATAAATACTAAAGCTTACACTTACAACAACATTTTATTTTACAATTAACTTATGGTAGTTTTATTTGCTATAATCTCTCTTATGCTGATGGTCATGCGCCGTTCGCACCGTCAACTGTTGGACTCCTTTAAGGGGCCTCACGGTGGGTGGGAACGATTGCATTGTTTCGCTGATATCTCTGTTATTTTGTATGAATACCCTATACAAACTATATATATTTGGATTCTCCATAAAATTTACTATAAAATAGTGTGTACACAATGCGGCATGTCTATAATCTATTTTAATTACGTTACGGTAAACTCGGGTAAGATAAAAAAAAGGCGTTCAGATGGGTAAAATGGAGTATATCTTCAAAATTAAAAAATTCCATGTCCAGGTTTTTTGGTTATTTGCACATTCTATTATAACTTACCAAATAAAATCATAATATACCATACTCCCACAATTTAATTTTACACTATAGCTCTCACAATCCACGCGCCAGATGCGTAAACAAACACGCGTTAGAAAAAACAGGTGTCGGGTTTCGAGTGCCGGCAATAAAGATTAAACGGACGTCTGAATGGCTGTGATTTATGTTATACGATTGGCTTGGAATGTTTAGATAACATTACAACCAAGATTTTAATGAATAACGTTTGTCCATTTTATAGTTTCAAGAACTTACAACGAGGCATTTAAAAATCGCCTACAAATCAGTCATCTCAGTTTTATGTCTATAAAACGAAAAGTATTTACAATTTTGATAAACAGATATTTTTATCAAAATGAACACGAAATTTGCTTTAGAATAAACAAAAACTAATCACTAGTTCATATATAAGAAAATAATATAAAAAAATATTTCGTTCGTGTATTTGAATTTAGAACGACCGTTAAACCGCGCGGATATTGTTTTTTTTTTTATTTCTTCAAAAATACGAACTCAAGAGATTCTCTGTATTCGAAATATTAATCATGAATAATTTATTCAATAATTATAAATTAAACATTACAATTATTATCGAAATTATCACCATGAAAACATAAGCCACAAACCCTTTTTTTTACTGTTTTTTTTTCGAAGTCGAGAACAAAAAAATTATTAAAAAGAAAAACACGTAAACCCGCCAACGAAACATCAAAATAGAGTAACTTAATGTATAACTTGCCCATTGATGGTGTTTTTTTTAAAAACCACTGAAAAACACTTTAAATAGTCTGAATACACAGCATATTTTTTTTCATACAAAAAAACGGCGAACGACGAACTTCCACAGACAACAGTATAAAGATTTCACATGGCAGTTGACTTAATCAATGGCTAGATAGCTAGCCTGTTCTTTCCTCTACAAGTTGATATAAGAATGTAGGTGATAGCAAAAGGAATGAATCTTATATTTTCCATAGTATAAGTGGGGTCGCTCAACATTATAACGATTTTTGACAGAGACCGAAAGTCGGTCACTCAACACAATAGAACATTGTGAGAGACCGATACATAAACTATGCATAAAAATTCCTGTATATCAGGTCATTAGGTTGCCACAAAAGATGTTGATACTGTACATAAAAGGAAACTGAATAAAATGTAGTTTTCACTCATTTACATTAGCCGTGTATATTAAAAACTGTAAGCCATTATATCCAGGAACAGAGAATAAAACAAACAACAAAATAGGAAATCTCCAAACACAGAAAATTAACAATAATTCTAAATATATATATATATATATATATATATATCTATGCTATGCAATACCTCAAGGCTAAATTTTGTTGATTAAGAATGTTGATGCAAGTGGCCTTGAATGTGTAAGTAAGTAGTAGCTAAGTAATAAAATACATACTTATACAATTCTCCATCTTCTTTCTCCAGCATGCTTTGGAAAGCCTCATTTAGTTTGGACAGGTCTTTCTGCATCACTCGCACTACTTCAGTGAGACTCTTCGCAAACCAATAGATGTCCACCTCATCATCATAGAGCTCCAATAAGGTGTCAGTAATAGGCACAAATGTATCCTCCAACTAAATTGAGATAATTCAATGAAATAATAAACAAAAGTCATTATAGTACACTCTTAAATTAATCTCTAACATGTTACAGAAACAAGATAACATATAATTACACACAAATAAATTTTAATCTAATATTATATTAAATGTTGCTGTGAAATCAATTGGAATATATTATTACCTACAAAGTAAACAGAAATAAAACTGATATAACAGCATTGACTAAATGACAAATAGCAACTCATGGTACTAAAGAGAATTTTACTAGAAATATCATCAAATAAAATGCTTAACAAATAAAAAATAAACTCATGGTACTTTTCCTTTAAATTCTCACAAAGTTAGCCATGTCAATGTGAATAATAAAACTAGGTAATTTTAAAAAATTCTAAAGCATGAATACATTTCCTTATTTTTTTTTGTTTATTTTGTCCAAACATAATTATTATGTTATGTAACATTGTATTATTTGTAATAATTAAAAAATTGTTGAGATTAATTCCTTGAAGCAATAATTTTTTAATGTAGGTAGGTTAGTATATCGAAAGGACCATCACTTACCGAGCAATTAGTTTCCTTGAAAATCGGTGGTTCTCTTTGCTCATTGTCAAGAAGCCACATCTGCAGCAGAATCTTACTTCGAGGAGCCTTCAAATCAACCAGATCTAACAGTTCCACAGCATATAGCAAGTCATTGTATTGATCTGTTCGTTGTTCCATCACAAACTGATGTGAATCAGGATATACAGGTAAGATATCTGAAAAATATAAAGTTATTTAAAAAACGTAAACCTTTCCTATTATAATTTTAACTCGTAATATTTAGTTATAATTTTAATTTGTAATATTTGTTACGTTGTATAACCAATAAGATCTTTTTATCTGTGACATTCACCCAATAAAACTTTCCAGACGAGATTTCTATATGCCGCAGGCACTGTGAAACGTAAACAGAATTGTTTCAGCTTCAGTTTATCCCATGGTTTCTCTTTTAAAAGAATTTCTAAGGACTTCTTTTCTTCCACACCCCGGCATCCAACTTTTTCGTAGTATGAAGACCGAAAATTACGTTCGTCGGTCATTTTGTGTGAGCTTCTTAAAGAATGGACCTGAAAATAGTAAAAATGACAATGATTTTCAGTGGTATATAAACGTTGAGCTTGGAAAACCAATAAATTCAGTCCATAATTCAGGACTTCAGGTAGATAGAATTTGTATTTGTGAAACTGAGAAACTGTCATGTCACGTCGTAAGTTGACAGAATGATTCATTTTGCCATATGGAAAGCAAAATACACAAAACCATAGAGCTTTAACTTCAGTAATAAGAAAAGTGCTTCAGTTCAGTTCCGCCCATGTTCAGATTTTCCAATATGGTTCCAATGATGTTATGCTATTGTTATTTTTATGTATTTTGTGATAACCGAAATGAATTTATGCTTCAGTGGGGTCGTAATTTAAATATAAAAAATATCCATGGTAAAATTCTTAATTTTATTAGAGCGATATTGTATAGTTGATTTTACTGTCTACGATCTACCTACGTGAAAAGAAAAATTGTAGTCCTTGGAAAGCGCGCTGATTTCGAAATTTGAATTCACACTTCGATCTAACAAAATGCCAAATTGTAACCATGGTGATAGATAAACTAGCGCACCTCACGTTTTACTACTGAAAAAGAAGTAAATATTATTTTATTGAGTTTTTACGTGAATTAATTGGATAATGGACATACCTGACTCATCTATATCTGCCGAGTCTGCTTACATAGATAAAAAACGCGAAGAACTTAAAATATTCTTCAAAGACGCCAAATTCCCTCAAGAGGTGATCGATAAAGTGATTGAAAACGAACTTAAACCCTTGAAAAGTCAGGAGAATAGACCTTATATAGTTGCCTCAGCTTCGGGGGAAGTAAAGTCTGAATATGAAGTTATGACGGGGCAGCCTTTCACTCAAATTGAAGACACTAACAGACCATTAACTGTCGAGGAAATCAAAGAAAAACTCAAAGGAAATCCCATAATAGCAGAAAAAGCCAGGCAAATACAAATAGTGACAGGCACGGAAGAGAGAAAACCGATTTCAATACCATTGGACAAAATCAATATAGCAGCCTTCAGTGATATGCGATCAGAAATAGATTCAGCCGATGGTGATATTGAAAAGGTAAATAGACTTAATTACAAACATATGCAAGCTCTGGTAAACTCCATCAATGATTATGAGGCCGAACCAGTAAAAAATACCGAGGAAGATATCAAATTAGAAAATAAAAGCGAAGATAATGATGATGAAGATTTTGAAGCTATTGAAAAAGTTGTGAGTCATTACACTGGAAAATCTTACGAAACAAGATTCCAAGAAACTAAAGATATGTTATTAAAACTTGCAGATGAATATGAGGACACGCAATCAACAACAACAACAAAACCTTTTATAAACAAAAGCCACATAAAATCTGATCCAATTTTGAAGGAGTCATCGACCCAATTAATTAAAGGCCAAATAAGGAAATCTGTATTTGATGAAGTAAAGGAAACGTATGCTATAAATGAAGTTATGAATATGTCGTTGAAGGATAATCCTGTCACTCCTGACCTAAACAGGAAAGAAATTAGTAAAATAGAAATTAAACAAAAGGAAAATAAAGAAGAAATTATAGATTCTGAAGTTTCTTATTATGAAGTTTTTCCAAAGTCAATGGAAACAAAATTGAAGGAAACCGAAGAAGCATTGCTCGCTATTAACTCTGTACTAAATTCGACTGCTGAATCCAACAACCAAACAAGTAATTTAACAGAAAGAATCCTGACAGTAAATAATGATACATTGCAGGTTGATAAGAATGACATTACTGAAAATAATTTGGCAGCAGCCAAAAAGCAGAAGTTTGATGAAAAAATAGAACTAACATTACAAACTGCATTAGAAGATATATTCGAAATGAGTAATAATGAAAACAAAGACAATAACGAAATGGAATTCAAGGAAATGAAGAGTCTAGCTCGTAATATTGTAGAAGGAGCTGATAATTTGAGTACTTTGATACGAGAAGATATCACTAACAAGCTAAACAGTATGAATGAACTGCTAAATGATGTTAACGAAGCATTAGAAAATTCACGGAAATCAAATATTGCTTATCAAAAACTTAAAGAAGAACGTGAAAATTGGCAGAAAGAGACATCTATTAAAGTCGATAGGGCAGAAACAGAAGAAAATAGTAATAAAACTGATTTTGAGGAAGTCGTACCTAAAGGAACAGTTACAGAGAATTCAATTAACGATATTCATGATGCAATTAATAAACTGAATGCAGAAATAAAATGTCACGAAGAGCGAATCAATAAAAGTAAAGAAAGTTATGAACAACGAAATGAAGAATGTAAGGTGTTTATTGAAGAAGTTGACGAGATATTAAAAAAATCACATGGAATTTTACACCCAGCTAAACAGGCTACAGATAAATTAGAGAATATGGATATGGAGAACATCACTAAGGTACATAAGCAAAAAGACGAAACACAACAAAGTGAAAGATTTAAAAGCGAGTCATATGATGTTAAATCTAATTACGATGACGAGACAAATAAGAATCTCTCTGAATTTAAACAACGAGAATTAGATCGCAATAAACGAATCAATGCACTTCTGTATGATATTAAAGACAAGATGAAAGATAATAAAGAAGTACTGAGACTGGCAAATAGTATGTTGCATCGAGAAGAGAACAGAAAGAAAACACTTTTAGGTGCAGCAGGTTGTCGAAAAATACAGGAACAAGAAAGCTCTGTAGTAGACAAACAGGCCCAAGGTGATCACATCCGCAATATTGGAAATGAAGAATTAACACCACAGGCAATGCTAACAGAAGGTGAGGAAAAATTTAGGTCAATGTGGAATAGGGTTTTTATTTCTTTCACAATGATTCGCTCCTGCCTTCAGTACCAAAGGTCCTGAGCTCTAACCTATGTAGGGTAATTTATTTGTATGATAGGCATTGTTGATTCCGCGTCATGGTTATTTATAATCTAATATATAAAATTCTCGTGTCGCGGTGTTTGTGGTTAAACTCCTCCGAAACGGCTTTCCCGATTCTCATGAAATTTTGTGTGCATATTGGGTAGGTCTGAGAATCGGACAACATCTATTTTTCATCCCCCTAAATGTTAAGGGTAATCTACCCCTAATTTCTTTTTCAATTTTAGATAGTTTTTTTTTAATTTTTTTATGATACATCATACAAAAATACATACATCCCTAAATTTTCAACTTTCTACCACCAACCCCTATTTTTTATGGCGGTACGAAGTTCGCTGGGTCAGCTAGTAACATATATATTTTATGTGATATTTAGTTCCTGTCGACCCGTTTTGCTTGTTTTTTTGTTTTATTTATTCGTATCTGTAGGATCGTAACCAATATTTTTAGTGACGCAAGAAGATGAGATGAAGAAACAGCAAAAACAGAAGGAAAAAGAGGAAGCTAAAAAGAGAGAGCGTCTGAAGCTCGAAAAAGAGCTAGAGGAGATGAATAGAGGACCTCGCATGACCAAGGAATTTATAAGAAATCATTGCAAGCAGCACAAGTTATACTGTACACCACAATTAAATGATATTTTGTATCTTCATTTTAAGGTAAGAAACCATTATACAGTAGATCCGCGGTAGCCCTTATAATTCGACACGCCTATCATATTTTTTTTGATATGTATCTCATAACAAGAACTAAAGCATATGTACTTAATTTTTCGGATAACAAAGTACTCGTTATCATAACATTTCTGAATACAGAGCATGATCTTAGGCAGTACCTACTCTATAATGTGACATTGCCTTGCAAAACATTTGTTGAATTACCGTCGGTCTATTGTATATGAATGTTTTTTGTTACATTACATGAAGGTATTAAAAAAATCTTATCCACATTAAATGAGCTTTTACTTTGGTGCAGCAAATAATATTATAGATAACAAATTCCAGGGATTTTCGACAATTGAAAACTTAGAAGAGTACACGGGTCTTAAATGCTTATTTCTTGAGAATAATGGTATACAGAGGATTGAAGGTTTGGACACTCTGTCTCAGTTAAAATGCCTCTACCTCCATTACAACGTTGTCAGAAAGATCGAGAACCTAGACGGATGTCCCAAATTAGACACACTAAACTTAGACCACAATTTTGTCACTAAGATTGAGAATCTCGATGTAGTTCCTGATTTACACACTTTGAGTATCGCTCACAATATGTTAACATCTGTAGGTAAGTATACACTAAAATAATGGTAAGTGGGCTACAATTTATGAATTTCTTGGTTTAAGAACAGTTTTATTGCAGAGGATCTAGCTCACCTGAAGATGTGCAGGAATCTTTCAGTTTTAGACCTTTCTTACAATCGACTTGAAGATCCTTTGATTGTCGATGTTCTGGCTGACATGATTTTATTGAAAGGTAAGTACTTTAATTGTCCCTACTTGAGCACTTTGATTCCAGTATTGACTCACAACACTATTCACTCATCTGCAACGCATTCATCTTATCTAGGTAATTCATTAACACCACATCTCATATTTCGAACCGGCGCGGATAAAATGAAGCTGAATGAAGATGTTGCCCAGAAACATTAAAAAGTGATAGCAAGTCTATGACTTACAAACAACAGTTTCTGAAAATTTCTTTAGGCTTTATTATCTGCATAGAAAAATTAGGCGCAGTATGCTTTCAAATAAATCCTAGGTACATAGGTTCTCAACGTAGGTAGTAATAGTTTATTTGATAGAATTTCTGTTTTTGTTGTGGACGGTGGTTTCGTATTATTTTGCTTTTAACTTTCATGGTCACTAATATTCTGGTAATTAACGGGATAGCAACTTCGTACCTTTTTTTTGCTCTGTTGCAAGCAATAATTCAGCATTGTTGCAAGTGCCATGATGCCCATAGCTCGTGCTCGTTCCAACAATATCGGGTACCCGCATAAAACAAGCTATCAACTTGGTAGCAAATTCGCTTATTTTAATGTTTCGTAATATTCTAATGATTTGGTTGAAGTGCTAGTCTTAACCGGTAACCCGGTGGTGCGCAACATCCCGGCGTACCGCAAGACGTTGACGCTGCGGCTGAAGGAGCTGCTGAATCTCGACAACCGTCCCGTGTTCCCGCGGGACCGCGCCTGTGCCGAGGCCTGGCAGCGCGGCGGCGTGCAGGAAGAGATCGCGGAGAGGAAACGGTATTATACGGCTGCAGAGATCTAATTAACTTTTAAAATTGATGCTGTGACTTTCTTTGCGTATACAATAGAATGAGACAACACGTGACTTAATCAAGCGATTGATAAATTTTTTGTTTCTGAGTACAGCTGTTAGACATATATTGGACAACGACAGTGCTCTAAGTTTGAGAATTGGTTTGATGGAATTCAGAAATAATTCAATCTTACTATTATTGCCGGAATGCTAACTAGTGGCAGTAACTCAACTCAATGTAGAAAGATAAAGCAATTAAGCTATTAATTTTATAGACCGTAAAGATATTTAAAAATAAAGTGGAAGCTTTTGTGCTTACATTAGAATATGATAATATTACAGCTGGATAGCAAAGGAGCAAGAAAAGACAATGCAAAGCGTGCGGTACCTGATCAAAATGAGAGATGAAAAGAGAGCTCTAAGAGAGGCAAGAGAAAAAGAGGAAAGGGAGAAACTTGGTCTCCCTCCAAAGGTAACATTCTTGTCTGATGGCTGGGAAGAATGTAATTGATTTATTAATGTTGACCAGCGTTTCGTCTGCGATAGTAGAAGTTTAACAACTTTAGCTATGGCCGTTTATAGGAAAGGTGACCTTTAGGAAAGGTGGTTAAAAATTCACCTTCATTTCCGAAGGTGAATTTTTTGGGTCACCTTGGGCTAATAACTGCAAAATGTCGGGACCAACCGTCTCGGCATTTTGCAGTTATAAGCATCACCATCATTCTTGTCGCCTGCTTGTTGGTCATGATCCTTCGCCCTAATTCATCCATAGGCAAGGCCTGTCCCTCAGACGTGAAGACATTACTTGGCTAATGATGATGAATACGCGTAGCTCTTGATATCAACTTAAAATATGTGATACACTTTGTAACAATATAAAACAGGACGAAGATGAACTCGGTGAAGATATTAAAAAGGATGCTTTAGAAAATGTCTGTAGTATCAAAGAGTTTGAGGGCCCGTCACCAATGGAAGAAAAATTTGGTCCAGCCGAAGTGAAGATAAAAAACGGTGTAGCTGTGGATATGCTCACAGGATCTGAAGCTGACGATTCTTCAAGTGAAGACTCGACTAGTGAAGAAAGTAGTGATGAGGGAATAGATGATGCTAAACAAAATAAAGTTACAGGTATTTTGGAAATAATAAACACTCGCTTATTATAATGAAGTTTGTTAACAGTTCGATTTTGAAACGTGGACCAGAAATTTTTAATTTGTTTTTTTGATGTTACTCTATTTAATAGTACCTATAACATAACCGATATAATTTTAGAACCTTCAACCAGCAAAATAGAATGGTCACAGCTTGAGGTTGGGAAGAGGCTAGTCCAAGAGATAAACGATAAGCCACAGGAGGTGACACAACCAGATGATTACTGGTATGGGTACAGCGGTGACTTCAAACCGAAACAAGAATCTTCGTAAGTAAATTGAAGTATTGAAGAAATTTATTGAGTACGATAGTACTTAACACTTTTTTTCTTCATTCAACATAAGATAATATTATATTATTTATTGATTTACCTAAAACTGTTAACGACTTCACGTATTCGTTTCAGGAAATTTCTTTCAGATATCAAATCCATCAACAATCTGTTATTTAACCAACCCCCGCATACGGAGAAAAAGAAAATCACCGAGGTTTTAGAAGGTAATTTCGTTACGATTATTTGTATTTTTTTTGTTTTTGAGATAATTTATAAAACTTGTTTCAGTATCTAAGAAACAAGAGCACCAAAATGATAAAACTGAAAAAGAAGACACTGTTGGAGAAGAAGCTAAAAAGAAACCTCTGATAGAAATAGTTGATGAAAATATTATAATAGAGGAAAACAAATCCTACGCCGAAGAAAATAGTGCCGTAAGTAGTGGAATTACAGAAGAAGGTAATATGGTAATAGATCATGATAGAAAACTTATCATTGACAAAAATAAAGATAAAAAAACGAAGAAAAGGAGGCTGCACGTGTCTGAAAGTGACAAAACTCAAACCTCTAAGAATCATTTGAAGAAAATTGAAATAAAGGAAATAAGATCTCCAGAATCTCTAACAAGAACAGTTGTTACAATAACGCCCAGTGATAGTGATAATCAACCTAAAAAAGAAACTGAGGAGAACAAACCACAGAAAGAAGAATCCGCTAATAATGAAGGTAGTTCTGAAAGTAAAATAGACACAAATTCCGAGGCAAAAAAGCTTAGTGGTAAGTGTTTTTTATGGACACTTCAATATATTTTAGTCCACCTAATATTTTTATTAACAAGATACTTACCAAAACACAAATAGCAAATTTTAATGCATTATACTCATACTTTAATAAAATTCAAGAAAAGCTAAAATTACTAAAATTTTCCATTTTAGTAATTTAAGCTTCGTCGTCATGCCGTTTTTATTTTTCTTATGTTTTCGCAGTTAAACAAGGTACTGGTGATGGTGTAGCCCTAATCAACTATATGCACAGAATAAACTCTGGAGAAGATGGTGACGATGAAGATTTGGAGCCTAGCGCTGAGGACTTGGAAATATTTGCTGAACTGGAGAGGGAACAAGAGGAGAGGCAAGCTAGAATAGATCGAGGAGAGCCGCCCGTAGATCCAATGGTGAGTATTGTGGTGAATTCAGATTAATAAAACGTATCATAAACGCATATTCGCTTCTTTTTCAACAAAGAACTACAAAAAAGGACTATGTTCGATGTTCGGCTGTATGTTTTTTGAAGGAAAACTTCTTTAGCGGCGTTGTACACTTTTTTTGTATGGGTAAAGAATGTTAAACTCGCGGCAGGACATGTGGCCTGATCACGTCAGGACGCGTGACCTTATCGAAAATTCGTAAGACGAAAACAATAAAATTAGAAAGGTTGTTGACTTTCAATATATTGGACGAAACATAGTAATATTTTATTTTATCGTATTATAATAATGTCTATATCTAGGACGTCCAGGTGGCAGCTTTATTGCGAAGAAAATGTTTTTTTTTACAATGGATGTTGCTAGGTTTAGGAAAAAAATTTTCACTAAAATGAATGAAATAAAAAAAAAAATGACAATAAATAAAACCGAATTCAAAATCGCAAAATGGAACTAAAAAGTAAAAAATAACATCTGGTTCAGGATTTGGAAGGCGGGCGGGGTCAAGATCCAAACCCGACTTCCAAATCATGAACCAGATATTATTTTTACTTTTCAGTTAAATTTTTGATTTTCTAGTCGGTTTAATTTTTTCTTAAAAAAATTTGAATTTTTATGTATTGTTTTTATATATTGTTTAAAGTATTTCCAGTTTTTCTGTTTAAAACATACTTCACTTATTATTTACACACCTATTGATATTAACAAAGTCAGTAGGTACATTTTTATGTATTTGAGACTAAAAATTACATCTTTATCCTCTTAAACTGTATAAAATTGAAATGACATTCAATAACATAACTTAACAACAATTCAAACTTAACAACCAAAGTAGGTTGCAGTTTTAGTTACATCCACACGTGCTTATATTTCATTTACTGCGCCACGACATGCGCTAACTTCACAGCCGCTACAGTTCATTTAAAGATATCGTGAACGTTTCTAGAAACTGTATCATAAGAGTACTATGGAGGAATTCTACAAGGCAGAGGAAAGGCTGGCGGCACATGAAGTGAAAGACCGCAGCCGGTACACTACGTACCGACACGACAACGCCTTTGACAGGGTCGCGTTCAGTCAGCTCACCGCCGGTGACAAACCTGGTATGTAGGAGTAGTTACTTATGATTATGATAGCCAAGACAGATTGCCAAGTAAATCATTGCATTCATCAAATCAGCATTCAACCTTACGACTACTGAGCATAAGTCCAAAGATCTCCACGTTGATCGGTCCTAAGCTGTTTCAGTATATCGTCGGTTCATCTCCGGACTGCAGAGGTGGCGTTGTCCACTGAGACTCGTGAACGATGATGTTACGTGATAAGACGTTACCTTAAAGTGTTCTCGCGAAGTTTCAATTTATATTTTTTAAGCCTTTTGTTGTGGGGCTCAGCCGCTAATATCGAAAGTATTTTCATACTGCAAAGAGAGTTCGCGCCATATACAATTTAAAGGCAAGAGAATCCCTTAGAGAAAAATTTAAAGAAATTAAGATTTTAACACTGGCGTCGCAATACATTTATGAAAATTTAATATATGTAAGGTAAAACTATGATGAATTTGCAAAAAAAAGTCAAACCCATAACTTTAACACGAGATTTAAGAACAAGCTTGCCGTTCCATGTTTCAGACTCCAAAAATCAAGAGGTTCATTTCTGGGTTGTAGTATTGCATTGTTTAACAAAGTTCCCCAAGATCTGATTGAGCTTCCACTGACTAAATTTAAATCTCAGATCAAAAATACTCTTATGAATAAGGGCTATTATAAAGTTGATGATTATCTAAATGATCGTAATGCATGGACATAGTGTTTCTTATAATTTGATATTAAATGGGTATTACTCATTTTTCATAACAGTAATATTGTACCTATCTAATGCCGCTTCCTATATACTACTTGAAATGTTAACTATAAAATTAATTGTAACTATTTATATTCTAGATGATGTAATGGAAAGTGACTTCAGACGTATTTCTGAAGTAATTTTTCAAATTGACGACACTGTATATAACAATACAGGGAGAAAAAAACAGCCCTTGCTGAGTTTCTTGCCGGTTCTTCTCAGTACAAGGTCTCCCGCCGTAGTTTTGCGAACCGATGGCGTAGCTTCTTGACCTTCACAAGTGCTTGTAACAGCCTAGACTGAATAAATGACATTTCATTTCATTTCATATCCAATTTGAAAATCAGAGTTAATTCGCAATTTAATCCTTGAGATTATTTTCAAGGATGGCGGGAACTCTGATTCTTCTATTTATGCTGTTAATGTCCTTACTACTGGGGAACAGGCCAGGCGGAAAATTAAGAATGCGGAGGCTATAACTTTTCAACTCTTTTTCAACTTTTTTATTCGCAGTTCTAGTGCTGATTGGTGGATGATAATTACTGCAGATGCAGCCGGGACCAACGACTTAACATGTCTTCTGCAGCACGGAGTATGAAATAATAAATTTATGGTCGTCCATCCTATTACGGAAGCAGTTTATGTTCATGATAGCAGATTGAACGCGCTTACTGCCGTACGATCGCGCGTCTATGGAATCGGATGCGCATTAATATTTAACCCGGCGTCAGCACAGTCAAAATATGCAACAGCGACAGTAGGGTTGGGTCGAGAGGACCCGTATAAGAAAACGCCATAATTACAAAAGTTAAAATAAATTTCGTTCGTGGTTGTACTATCTGTATAAAACAATTATCGTTATAGGTTTCCAGTAGAAAAAAATACAACATGATACGAAACTATCTTTTTAATGTCATTTTCATAAAAGTGTCACAAAACATTAACAAAATGGACAACCTCTGTCTTAAAGTAATAAAATTTTAACAAAACAAACTTTTTTCTATCATCATCATCATCATCAGCCTATTAATGTCCTCACTTCTGGGGCACAGGCCTTCCCTATGGATGGAATAGGGAGAATGGGCCATGACCCACCACGCGGGCCCAGTGCGGATTGGTGGGTGCTAACGACTGCAGATGCAGCCGGGACCAACGGCTTAACGTGCCTTCCGAAGCACGAAGGAGCTCGAGATAATAATTTTTGGTCACCCATCCAATGACCGACCACTGCGAAAGTTGCTTAACTTCAACGATCGCAGCCGAATGCGCTCTAGCTTTTTTCTATAACATAAACCAGTGGTTCTCAAACTTTTTAAATGACGGAACCCTTTTGGGAAGCAAAATACTTGATGGAACCCTACAATAAAACAATTATTTTTATAAGTGTATTCTATATTAATCAGCATAATAAAAGTACAATGTATCCGTTACTAATTATTATTTACTTCACCACTTGGTAAGGACAATAATAGAAAACATTAAAAAAGAAAAAATCTAACTAGTGGGAGGTATGAAACTGTTTTTTATTTTTCATCAATTGCTTGATATCAGGTTTGATGGAAGAAAGTTGGAGTCTCATATCAGCTTCGGCGTCCAGTCTATTGCGATATTTTGTTTTCGTGGCTGCGTAGGTAGAGAATCCTGTTTCGCACAAATATGTAGTTGGGAACGGGAGAAGAATATCCAGAGCCATTTGGCCAAGCATTGCATATTCATCTTGGATTCTGCACCAAAAATCATTAAGAGGCGTCGTTTTGAACAATGACTCCATACTTGTGTCTGATGACATTTCTAAAAGAGATTCATATATCTCATTTGACATGTTTTCAGGCTTTTCCAAGTTGGGTAAAAAAGGATTATGAATCCAGGAGTTCACTTTAATTTTTGTATTGTGTTCTTCGGGAAAATACTTTTCAAAAGATGCGCGCATCGAACTGAGATATTGGACCAATTCTTCAAACACATTATCTTCAAACATTTCTGAGTCGTTTTCGCTAACAAACTCAGTGAGTAACGTAAAACTTTCTATTTCTTTCTTACCAATGCAAATGATCCAAAAATCTAATTTTCTTTTAAAAGTAGTTATTTTATTATAGGCCTGAAACACTGTTGTCTGTTTACCTTGCAATGATAAATTTAATTCGTTAAGTTTTTGAAAGATATCCGCCATAAAAGACAATCGGAACAACCAAGTTTTATCATACAAACGGTCCTTCAAATTAAAAGAAGTATCTGCTGAAAGAAACATTTGTAACTCGGCTCTAAGTTCAAATAGCCTTGTTAAAGTTTTTCCCCGAGACAGCCATCGCACTTCTGTATGGAGCAGCAGTGTTTTATGTTTGCTGCCATAATCTTCACACAATAATGAGAACAATCGGGATTGTAGTGGTCGTGATTTGATAAAATTAATTATTTTTACCGCTTCATCCATAACTAATTTTAGATTAGACGGCATTTGCTTCATCGCAAGTGCTTGTCTATGCAGAATACAATGACTGGAACTACAATTAGGCGCTTTATTTTTCATTCGTGACACTGCTCCTGCTGTTTTACCTGTCATCGCCTTGGCCCCATCTGTACAAATGTCAATGCAATTGTTCCAACTGAGATTATGTTCTTCAAAAAATATATTTATTTTATTAAAAATTTCTTCCCCGGTAGTGTTTGTAAGCAGCGATGAACACATAAGCATGTCTTCTTCAAAAGAACTTTTATATGGATATCTCACAATAACCAGCAGGATAGCCAAACCAGCGACATCAGTCGACTCGTCCATTTGCAAAGCGAATCGTGTATTTTGTAGACGTGTAACTAGTTCTTGTTTGACGTAGCTTGCCAGATCATGGATTCGTCGTGAAACAGTATCGTTTGATAGCGGAACAGTAGAAAGATGCTTTGCAGATTTTTCATCAAGCATACATTTTGTTATGTCTAATACACATGGTTTTATTAATTTCTCAGCGATAGTGTGCGCTTCACCTGCTTGTGCAATGCGATAGCTAACTAAGTATGATGCCTCCGTGGCCTTTTCGTTGGTAGTTTGTGTTACATGCATCATATTTTTTTGACTTTCTAATAACTGATCTTTTTTGCGAACAAAAAATTCTTTATTCTTGTCTTTAGTCTCGGGGTGTACGGTTTCTAAATGTCGACGCAATTTGGCAGGTGCCATGGAACTATTAGGAAGCAGTTTACTACAGAGCATGCAGAGAGGTGAGCCGTTGGAATCAACAAATCCGAAACTGATATAAGATTCATCATACTTCCTTTTTTTCGTCTTTGAAACCGTCGAGCTTGACGTCGTGGCACTCGTGGCATCATCTTCTGGATCGGTGATTGCTAAATTCTCCGCGCGCATTGCTTTTGAACATTCAGCGTCATTAGAAGATGTTGTTGGAACACGTTTAACACCTTTAAGCCAACGTTCCATTCTTCTTTATTTATAATGTTACAAGTCAGGATAGTGGGGTTTAAATAATGCACAATCGTTACTGCGTATAAGAGACTAAATTTAGAACCTACAGGGAAGAAATGTATAAAACTGAGACAACAGAATACAGCAGGCAGTAAAACAATGAACACCAGTTTCTCGCTAGCGAGCTTGTAAGTAGGTAGTAACTTATCGCTCCGAACGCTAATCATCAACTGACGACGCCAACGCCCGATCGCCGCTTTTATACTTAGTCCTAGACTCGATCTCAAATATTCTCGAAAATACTCGAGTCGGCACCTTTGATAAACAAAAAGCAAAAATAAAAACAGAAATTTAAAAATAGCGTTGTAAACAATATCGACTTTATCCTTTGAAGTTAGAGACGAAAGTCGCTAGTTGACAACTATAGCGTCTAATTCAGAGGCGGCTTTTATCAAAGAGACTGAGCGCTTACAAGTATACTACCCGCTCGTTTTAAGTTTGCCGCTGGCGATAGGTATGAGTGTATGACGTTCGAAATTTTTTATTTAATTGTAACAATAAAAATTGTGTACGTTAGATATTTGGGTAAAACTATGACACATTATAAGTTTTGTTGTCACGTGGGGGAGGGTACGCGCATTCCACAGACCGGCAAACTTAGAGCGAACGCGTTGTACAAGTATAAAATTGTTGAGACCAAACTTATGAGATATTGTACCAGCTAATGTAACACAAGCTTATACAAATACAAATAAATAAATAAATAACATTCATAGCGTTTTGTCTCCGCGCGGCCGCGGAGTCCGCACAGCCGCGGAGCGACCAGAGAGAGGTGTTTTGATTTTTTTATTTCTAAATTCTTGCGGAACCCCGACAGAGGTATCACGGAACCCTAGGGTTCCGCGGAACACACTTAGAGTATAGCTGACATAAACTAATTTGTTATATGTTAATCAAATCTTTAGTAGACTAATAATATTATACTATTTGTATCGGTCTCATACGTCAGTCATAGTATCCTTATCATCTGCGCAATCTCGGCAGTACAACATTGCATGCTCACTGCAGATGTATTTGCTACAGCTCCGAAAAATATTATTAGTTTTACTATCCTTTTTGGCAGAACGGTCTTGGCATCTCTTTCTTACATAAAGTATCTTCACAGGTGGCTCCTCATCAGGTACCTACTCCTAAAAACTCTCTTATTCTTTTGCGCATAAGTCTTGGCAACTGAATGACATCTTTACGATTGCGCAAATGCTCACGAACCAGTATAAGGCTTAAGTTTCTTTAGTAATTGGCGTTGCTTTGACGTAGTGTTGTTATTCTTGTTATGTAATATGTACGCATTATTCCAGACATATTTAGCATGCCAAAAATAACAAAATAAACAATAAAAAACAACAGAAAAACATTTTTTTAAATGGCGCAAAATTACGACACGAATAGTATGGTTGGGTCATATTTACCTTTTTCGTGTTTGGCCGTGCCTATCACTCGCTGGGGCCGCAACACGACTGAATGGCGATATCCCACGTGGAGGGGGAATCATTAGCTCCAGCTACTGAGAAGTTTGGCAAAGTCGCACAAACATTTTAAGAAACACGCTCATTTGAAAACTGCTCGGGTCAAATAGACCCAACTGTGCGAACGCCGGGTTAATACCAGTCATTCGTCTTTGAGTCAGAATTATTACCGAGCAATATCTTCTGCATCGCTTTAGCGTTACTGAAAATTTACGATTACATAATGCGTGTTTTTCATTTTTCAATGTGTTGCCTCGTGTTGTTTATTTGATTTAATGAGAGAACTATAGTTATAGACTAATAGTTGATAAAATATTTCACTAACAATTTGCTGTTGACTGTAGATGAGGACAAAGTGAAACTTACGTACGTACCCGGAGCAGTGCTGTTCGAATATGTCGAAAACCAGAAGCCCACTGCTGATGTGGAGTACCAGATAGGAGAAGAGGTCATCGATTCTGGGCGTAGGTTCAACCAGTATTGTATAAAGCCGCAAAGTGCAAAACAACAATAACAAAGCGACATTTTTGTCGCACACACATTGAATTTACGTTTACGTAATAATAATAACTAATTTCGATGATAGCGGGAGCCACCCTTCGACGGGAAGTTCAAGTTATTGTTGTTTAAATACGCTTTTAATCCGCTCTTGCTTAACGATTGCTGGGTGGAAAAATTGATTTCCCATACAAACATCCACCCCCTTTAAGGATGACTTCTTGGACAGCGACTATCCTATATCCTTTCCCGAGAGGACCAAACTATCCATATACCAAACATCTAAATCGATTCAGGTTTAAGCGTGAAGAAATAAGAGACTGGCAAGCTGATTCACTTAGTTACATACTGATCGATTGACGTAGGACAACAGTCCGCTGAATACAAAGAAATTTCAAATACAAAGATATCAAGTAAAATAATGAATTCTTATTTAATATTCCCAGTTAGTAGGTAAATGTTTAAATTTAAAATGCATTTAAGATTTGAAATGCATCTTCCTCTAGCTTCTTCGGCTGATACGGAATCTATCAACATATCTTCTGATGCTACATCTTCTTCGGAAGATGATACAGACATTAACTCGAAACGTGTCAAGAAGACTAATAGACCCACGTCAGCTGTTCCTAAAAACACAAACAATAAGCAAGACACTGCAAATAAATCAACAATTGCAAACAAACACCGAGATTCTTCAGGCCGAGATTCTGGCAACAACCGACTCAAGGATGAGGATAAAAAAGGCAATGGTTCAAAAAGATCTCAGAAACCAGTTAAAACAACGGGCAAAAAAAATGTAAACAATTCTTCAAGTAATATTGGAAAAGGCAACGAAGCTTGCAAAAACAGCAACGAAACTGACATCACAAATAGAAAGGACAGTAATACTTCAACAAAATCTGAAGACTCATCAAAGAAGATACAAAAAAGATATGAGGTGAAATCTAAGAAAAGAAATTATGAACTTATGAAACTCGAAGAAGACGGAGAAATTCCCCAGTGGCCAAAGTGTTCAATCACCTCATCTGACAATCCACTTCGTAAGTACAATAATATTTATACTTGATGTTAAGTAAAATAGTAGAAGTGCGAGGAACATTTTGTCAATGTGCTATACTACCTAAGTTATTTGAAATTAAGTAAGTAACTGTCTCTGCCCATGGTCCACCTTCATAGTTCACCTGGGTGTACCAGAGGCTTATCTTTTTTACCATGGTTCACCCTAGTTCACCTGGCTGTACCAGGGGTTATTATTTCTCCCCATCGTCTACCTGTGTTATGTAAATAAACAAAATATTTATTCAATTACTATTTCTTCGGAGTTGTGACTTGAGATTCGATGAAACGAAAACGCAACAGTTTATACCAATGTATCCATAATTTTGTCACTCTGAGATGAGGCAAGTGATCGGTGGTTCGATCCTGAAGTTGGATGTAGAGCGCCATTTACACGATGCAAGATTCTTGCCTGTTGCATACAATTAAATTGAAGCAATAAATGACTTGCATGGTCTAAACAACATTCTCGATCTATTTACACGCGGCCATGGTAAAAAGGTTGCATACAATTATTGAATGCTAGTGTGGACAAAAAAGAATTGCAAATGTCTTTCGTTTACACCAATACAATTATTGTAAGGAGATTATTACTTTCAAGTATTGACATGTCTTAACACAGACTTGTATGTACGTATACCATTGTTTTGCCACTTGGCGTTTGTATTTTTTTGCTGAAGCTGTTGTTAACCTTATAACATAGTGATATAAATAAAGCGAAAAAAAAAATTGGTTTTTTAGTGGTATCATATCCAGAATCAGTATCTCTACCCCTTAACTTTTTTTCGGGACCGTTTTACTCATACCCGGTATAACCCACCAATCCGTACTGAGCCCGCGTTGCGATTCACGGCTCAATCTCCCCCGGTTCAATAAAAAAGGTATCCTACTCACCAATCCTCACTTTATTGTATGTACAAGAAAATAACATCGTGTAAATGGCGCTTTAGTTATTCAGGTCTTAGGGTTCCGTACCTCAAAAGTAAAATACGGAACCCTTATAAGATCAATTTGTTGGCCGTTTGTCTGTCAAGAGTCTTTATCTAGGAGCGCAGGGAGGTATGGAGTTGAAATTTTTGTATAAGTATTCAGATCCACGGTCCTTGGGTCCTCAAACAAACATCCGAGTTAAAGTAAAAATGTACGGCCATTTATGTTGCGTATCTACAAATTACGGAACTCTCGGCGATCGAGTCCGACTCGCACATCTTTAATTTTATTTTTGGTGTCAAGTTTAAACTTTCACACTTCTGTAGGTGCACTACGGGCATTACGTTCTGAAAATGAAATATCTATATTTGGATAGGTGAACCACGGGAAAAGCAAAAAGCCCCTGGTCCACCCAGTTATCTTAAGGTGAACTTCGGGAAGTAATAATTGCCCTTGGTACACCCAGGTGAACTATGTAGATAGACAGTGGGCAGAGACAGGTAATTGTAGGTGATACCGTAAGTAGGTGAAGATTTGGGTTAGATTTCCAATCAGCGACAAAAAAACAATTGTCTTAGTTTTAGTTGTTTGTGTTGCGCTTATTTAATTATCAAGATTACGCTTAATAACTATTTATTATTTTAAGGTATGTCTCATAATATTATCACTCTTTTCATAACCATCATCTACGACGTTTGATTTCAGCAAGTACTAGTTATCCAATAGAAATGCCATCATACGAGAATATGCTGAACCTAGACCGAGAGGAAGCCAAGCGTTCCATTATCGACACCATCAATTCTTATGAAGACGAGAGGTTCCCTTCGCAAGGTAACTATGGATTTTTTTAAAAGACTAGCATTCTTATTAATGGAAGGCTCGCGTTGGCTTGGTATAACCTTCAACCCACGTTTTGACCTGTCAGAGCCTGAAGGTTCAAAGTAAATCTCTTCCAACCTCTTATAGGATAAATATTCAAAAATGTAAATGTAAATTTTTATTGTAAACCATCAGATCATTTTCACATTTCTATCTTCAATATTGACGAAGCTTCATATAAATATTATTTTTCCAAAATTCCTCTGACGATGGTGAAGTAAATAGTTCAACTCCTAACAGGCGTAGACTACTCGGATATAAGGTCTAACGCTCGAATCGAGCAGTCTGTAGCGTCAGAGATTCTGGATAGAACACTGGAGTATGAGGAACGCGAGTACTACCGGCAGCGCGACGCCATCACCAGCCAGGCGGGCAACATTGATAACAAGACCAATGCCATCATCGAGCAACTGTCTGACTCGCTGCACAACGAGTATTCGGTATGTCTTTTTACTCTAGGGTGGAGTAAACAGATTACTCGTAGATAACTCGGGATATGACTATGAACGCTCGCATCGAACAGTCTGTAGCATCTTAGATTTTAGACAGAACTCTGAAGCACCAGGAGCGCGAGTAGCATTTAAGAACCTCTGAACCCACTTCGTAAGGCTCTAGAGCTTTTCTTATTGACAGAAACACTTTCACTGTGATCCTTTAAAGAGTTAGTAATTCCTTCAGATGTTTGATCTGATTTACGCGAAAAATTTAATCCTACCTTTTTAGCTTTAGAGACTTCTAACATTAAACAAAATTTCAGCTGCCCGAAGTATCCCGCATCTTGGAGGCTCACATGCAAACAGCGGAGCAATTGTGGCGAGCGGGCGATTTGACGCGATACAGGTCTGTTAGTCCTACAGAATCTGTCGACGAGCGAGACGACGCCGACACACTCGTGCCAAGTAGAGACATTTCCTTCGAAGACACTTTGACCGAGGAAACAGCTGTGAACTCTGCAACAGCCACTGCAATCGACGATTCGGGCATTGGTGTATCTGTTAACGGTGATGAAAATGATAGAAACACTAGTAGTAATGACATTAATGCAACTAATGAAATTGGCGGGAATTTATTTGATGATAATCGTGATAAATACAATAATAGTAACAAGGAAACAGAAAATAATTCTACGGAAGACTCTAACAAAACAAGTGAAAATGACTTTAAAGAGATAAATGAAGAAAATGTTTCTATTAACAAGGAAATTGAATATCATTCTTTTGATGACAATAATGATTCCAAATTAGATGATTTTGAATCTGTGCTTGACGATTGCGAGTTGGCTAACGAAGTTTTTGAAGATTGTGAAGATCTGTCAGAGAAAGCGAATGATGTTAGTGGAGTGAATGAATCTAATGTATCCAACGCTGACATTGGTTTCGGTCGTTTGAACGAAAATTTATCGTTGGAAATGAAGTTGGCTTTGGAGAGTGACAGGAATATTTAGCTTATGAAGAAATACATTAGAAAATAGCATACCTTTTTAAATACTATACAGTTGTTTTTCCAATGCAATTGGAAAAGCGTAGCTTTCTTAATGATTTGAGAAGTGATTATATTTCGCTGTTCACTTAGCTAAAATTAGCGTTTACCTACATACTCGCAAATCGCACGCTTAAAGGAATACTGAAATTATTACTTAGTTCAACGTTGATTAACGTACAATATTGAGGTGTTTGCACATTTTTTTGTTTATTAGGTATGTGTCTAATTTTAAAGTAAGGTGTTAATGACAGCGATATTTATGAAGCTATGTGAATAGAGTAATATGCTAGGCTTTAACGTTTTTTTTTTACTTTTTGTCTGTATGTCTTAAGTACTAATAGGTCAGTATTCCTTTAAGCGTGCGAAATATTTAGATCTTCAATCATACATTTTGTCCTTCCTTATAATTCGATAAAATAAATATAGAGAACTGATGACTGCAATGGGGGAGAGAACAGTCTATGTATATGTTTGGGCTTTGCGGACTAGTTGTGATTTGTCTATTTTTTAACCACATTTGTTATTTTTCTGCTGAAACAAAGCATTTTTTTGTTTTTAACGTTGCTAGTAGAAAGAAAAATCTTAATTTTAACAAACTATAATTTATTTTTATAACAATACAACTACATAGAGTACATTAATTTATTGCACCTATTTAATTAACTGTACTAAAATATAATAATAATTAAATATTATATAAAAATATGCTTCTTTTGTTCTTAACTCTATTTCTATGGGACGAAAATACATGCATATTTACATCTTATTATAAAAAAGATGAACATGATATTACGAGACATTTAAATCAACGTTTTTTTTTAAATAAGGTATATTAAAATCTCTACTCATATGTACCGAAATATAAAGCATTCTTATATTGTCTTAAAAACATCATGACAAAATCCGAAAATAGTTTAAAAGATTTTAAAATAATTTAGTAACATAATTTTGGTTATCATCTTAGTCGTAAAAAGTGAAGAGAAATTTTAACAATAAAAGCAAAATTATAACAAGTTATAGTAGTACAAATATAATCTCAATGACATATCGACACATATCCACAGGAAAACGTGGCAGGCGACCGCTTGAGAGGTTTCTGAAAATTGACGATTTATATGTAATATATAAAATTCTCGTGTCACGGTGTGCGTAATTGAACTACTCCGAAACGGCTCGACCGATTTTCGTGAAATTTTATATGCATATTCAGTAGGTCTGAGAATCGGACAACATCTATTTTTCATCCCTCTAAATGTAAAGGATTTACCCTTGATTTTTTTACAAAATTTTTTGTTTTTATTTTTTTACGATACATCATACAAAAAAAAAAATACATATAACCCTAAATTTTCACCCTTCTACCACCAACCCCTATTTTTTTATGGCGGTACTAAGTTCGCTGGGACGACTAGAATAATTATAAAACTGTACCAAAATACTAGGTACCCAAAAAAACATCTTTAGAAGAAAGAAAATCAAACGGGATTATTTCAAATCTGAAAAACAAAATGTTTTACAAAACTATGTTCATTTCATATCTAGATAAGTAATCTAATAGACTGATAAGATTCCACAACTGAGTATAGCCCTTCTCTTCGTCTAGTATTGTTAAGGTAGTTTAGACACTGATTCATCACGCTGGTTCAGTATGTGTTGGCGACTATTAAGTTTTGCCACTCTAATATTTTTAATTGACTCTTTAAGATTTGCCTCACTAAGGTCTAAGATACATGATTGTAAAATACAACATATGATACAGAAAAAAATGTACACCTATATTTAGGGACTAGGGACAACCTGTTATCACTCATCTTATTATCCATTATGATAGCTACATGCGTTCTTAGATCAGTTGCACGCAGTTGTCTTTCATTCTATCAATTGACTAAAATAGTGAGTACGCCAAATTTTTTATTTATTATTTCTTTTTCTTCTAAAAAATGTTTTTAGGGTACTTTTTACATCCAGTTTACTGATACAGTTTTGCCAGTTGTGGTTATACACAAGACATTATTACTTTTTATCTGTTCATAGGTACTGTTAGGTAGTTTTATTATGTACATCTGGTCTATTTTCAGGAACCTCACAAGCAGTCCTGATACATAGAAAAACCTATATAAATCAATATTTAATATTTCACTAGCACTAAACGCACTTAATAAAAACGATACCTACCATAAACTATTCAATTCCTGACTACCCTTGATATTTTACTTACGACGCCCCGTTTTGTTTTTTTAATGTTAATTGGGTGGCAAACAAGCGTATGCCCAGCTCGATGGTAAGCGGCCACAATAGTCTATAGACGCTAGTGATACCAAAAATATAACTCGCACCGTTGCCTACGCTCTGTTCCAGGTAGTAGGGTATTGGTATACCCGTGGAGTTCAGGAACCTTAAACACAACACTACCAAAGGGTAGTGTTAATTTGCTATAATCTTCTGTAAGGTTAAGTTTACTTCCCCAGGCGGGCGCTCCATTCGAGAGGTAAGTCCGCTATACCTCTTAATTAACATACTTCGTAATGCAAGCCTTCGTGATTATTCGGTTACTGGACCATGGTATTTTTTTTTAACAGTAGTACATTTAACCAAACTTTGGTAAAATACATACCTTCCTGGTACAGTTAACTGTACCATGGAATAAATACATTTTCGTATGTCCTGGTATCTAAACCACTGAATAAATGTTTTGTTCTGTTGGAAAAAAAATAACCATATTTATTACAATTTGAATCAAGATTTTAAATATCAGACTTAATATAAGAAAACAATAAAATCGACTTAATTAAATTTAATAAATTTATGTATCTTATAACCAGTCTGACGCTTCTTTGTTCATGAACAATTGCGATCCAATCTTGTAGCCTGACTTGATTACACGGAAACGTAATAAGGAATAATAAAAGAAAATTCGAAATAAAAAAACATTAATAGTTATTCCCTTATATCTGCCATTTGTTATCCAGAAAAGGACAACAATACAACTGTAGATAGAGAAAGAGCGACGCGGACTCACCGACTCTAAATAATGAAATTGCCGAACCCAAACAAGCTGTTAAGCCCCGGGATATACGATAGACATATTAGAAATCACGGCTATATCATGTTTTTAGGAGCTAAAGATTCGAAAAACAAAGAAACAGATACATTACCTAAGGCCTGCTTGCACCAAATTTGCCAAATCGCGATTAACTAAAACTAGATTTAATCCATATAAAAAAGTCTAAACGCCAATATTTATTTGACATTCTTGTATGGGTTAAATCAAGTGTAAGTTACATGATGATATAGCAAATCGGGTGCCAAGTGGGCCTTACCTTAGTCCGATTAACTGCAATATCCGAAAAATTTAATTAACAGTGATACGGTTGTCCTCTTGACTGTACTATGGATTATAAAAATGTTCGCCTGTACGGTCAACTGTATAATTGTTAAGACACATTATGAGTCCGGTTAACTGTTCTACTGTAAAAAAAAATAACCATGTCCCTGTCAACCGGACTATCCCAACTGTACCACGGGCAATAGCCGGCACGCATTGACTTAAGCCGTCTATAAATTTGCTAAAGTCCCGTTGGTCGCGAAACGAATTTCCTTGTTTATTATGTTTTCGAAAAAATCAACTTTTTATAAGACATAATAAAAGAACATGCAAGAATTCAACCTTGTGCCCATTTCTGTTAAATAAACAAAATCTAAAATAAAATTTAAAATCCCGTTATTACCTGGTATTATTGTTTTGTCACACTTATTTAATACGAACAAAACAGAGACTGAGTTAGATGGAAACCATAGACATAGAGAATGGACCGAGTGGCACACTCACGAAATTGTCAACACTAGAAAGAGAGAAAGCTATGGTGCAGCCAATATTTAGATGAACTACTAGCCGCGCGATCGCATGGCCTCTCCCATCTTCCAAGTTTTCTTTATAGTTGGACAGGGAACTCTCGTCCATTTATTGCAATGAAGTGGTTGGGGGCCGCCGTCATAAGACGAATATAGAAATACAAATATACTAAGTTTGAAAATAAAATAAAAATAATTAAAATTAATAACGAGTAAAAGCTTTGGTTTGTAAGGGTGCCCGCCCACGTCTGATAGTCGGTGATCGATTTTTTGTAGGAGAAAAATAGAACGATCTATGTACAGTATTGCAATAGTGTAACGCATACGTCCTACAAAAAGTAGGTCAGAAACAAAATACAAAATCAAATCCGCCCGATTATCGGTCCTACAAAAAGTCTGATGTTGGCGGGCACCCCAAAAGAAATTATTTCTATGATAAATTGTGATTGATACTACATGATCCTCTTTAAACTATGGTTGAGAATATAAAAATAGGCCGTGCGTGGTCAAATGTAGTACATTAAATTTTCGATCTCACGGTTAGATGCATCAGTCATAAAACATAGTATTTTTATTAAATTGGATGGAAGTTTAGAACAATTCTCTTTTTCCTACCACCAGTCAGGGCAATGATAACGCCATATCTATACGTGGGAAATAGAATTATAATTAAACAGTGATGTTAAGAATAACTTGAACATCAAATTGTATTTTATTTATTAAAAACACACTTATGAAAATTGCAAACAAATAACATGATTACATTTTCTGTCACACATCGTTCCTTTTATCTAATCTATTTCCTTTTTCACCCGGTAAAAATATTTTATGTGCTATAACTTCAACCAACCTGTCTAATTAAAAAATAATAAACATAATTCATATGCAGCTTTAAAATGATGTGATTTCGAAATTTCAACTAATAACTTAACAAATAACACATTTCGGAATTACACTTATCCTTTATTTATATTTGAGATATGTTGAATTTTTTTAAACATCAGAATCATGAAAATTAACATACAACTACCACTTTTAATTATAACGAAATAATTTTCTTTTTTGTAAAAAAATAATAATTCATATTATACACATTTACAGTTTGTTTTAAACTTTCATGGTCACTAACATTATAGTAATATGTTATTAACGGGATTGTTACGGCATGTAGACCAGGGTTGATAATTTTAAAAATGGTGAAAAGTGAAAAAAAATTATAGTAGGATGAAACCCATTAGAAAAGGTAGAGAATATAACAAAAATGAAAGGAAAAATAAATTACGGACGATCTGAGGTCGGGAAGGGGGAGGGGGTGAGTTTTTAAGGGTAAAAAATGGTTAATCTCGATTTCCGGTAAAACTGCAAGTTCTATGAAAAAAAGTTAAATGGCAAAGTTGTAGGTAATAAAAAGATCTACAACTTTTGTATCGACACTTTTTTCACATAACCTCAAAATTTATGTGAAAAATGCGAATAACCGAGTTTTAGGTTTATGATTTTTATTTTTTGCAAAAAAATTTAGTTTTGTCACGAAATTTGGTGTAAACTTACCTTTGTATGTCCCAAACATACAGTAATTTTTTTGATTTAAAATATTCATTTTTTCACCTTATTTTGACTTAATATCCGAAAAGCACCCTAATTTTCAATCGAAAATTCTCACGTCAAAAATCTGCTTTTTTAAAAAAGTTGGGGTGTTTTTTGTTTGTTGAAATCTCTACTTTCTGATGGTATAAAAAAAAATATACACTACTATGATAAATGTTCTCAGAAAATGCAAATTAATAATGAAAAAAACTCGAATCCGAAAATCCTATTTTTAATACCTACTTACAACAACTATTTTTGCATGTTTTATGGATTTGTATTTTTTCTGTTTATCAATATAACATGAAATCTTACGTTTTTCGAGTAATTAAAGTGTAAATTTTAATAAATAGTTCAAAATTATACATAATGATTCAAATCAATTTTTCGGATTGGAGTTTTTTTCATTATTAATTTGCAGTTTCTGAGAACATTTACCATAGTAGTGTATATTTTTTTTATACCATCAGAAAGTAGAGATTTCAACAAACAAAAAACACCCCAACTTTTTTAAAAAAGCAGATATTTTGACGTGAGAATTTTCGATTGAAAATAAGGGTGCTTTTACGATATTAAGTCAAAATAAGGTGAAAAAATGAATATTTTAAATCAAAAAAATTACTGTATGTTTGGGACATACAAAGGTAAGTTTTCACCAAATTTCGTGAAAAATTTTTTTTTGTAAAAAATAAAAATCATAAACCAAAAACTCGGTTATTCGCCTTTTTCACATAAATTTTGAGGTTATGTGAAAAAAGTGTCGATACAAAAGTTGTAGATCTTTTTATTACCTACAAATTTGCCATTTAATTTTTTTTCATAGGACTTGCAGTTTTACCGGAAATCGAGATTAACCATTTTTTCCCCTAAAAAACTCACCCCCTCCCCCTTCCCGACCTCAGATCGCCCGTAATTTATTTTTCCTTTCATTTTTGTTATATTTTCTACCTTTTCTAATGGGTTTCATGCTACTATAATTTTTTTTGGTCTCAAAAATTATCGACCCTGGTCTAATGATCACGGAGCAACTGTGTCAGTTCAGTTACTTCGTGAACATGGCGCTTACAACAGTGCCGAAATATCGGAAACTCGCTAAATACAAGGTACATGGTAACAATCCCGTTAATAACATATATTACATTTACAGATGAATCATGATTGCACACACCTATGGCTACACTGTCGCCGAAGCGTTATCTCGAACATTTTCCGTTTTCACGACACTATATTGCTTGCAATAGTCGTATTTCAGAACACGCACAGAAATGTGACTATTCAATTTGTTGGTTAGAAGCGTCGTGAAAACGGCAAATCTTCGTGTTATTGCTATAGTGTGGTCCCAGGGTAATTACCTACAGAAATCTATATAAATTCACAAATATTAATACAAAAACCACAGTTCAACGACACACATTCCAAACAAATCTAGCAACGCAACCTTTACCACCGCCGCACCGTCCTACTTTAACTTACACAGTTATAATTGCCATAGAGGACACATGTCAGGACGAGATTTATGTTATAATCTAGCTATATATATATATATATATATTATATATTGAGATATAATATATATATATATATTATATCTCAATCTAGCGGTCTTCAAAGCAAGAGTGAACCGGTTTTTATTAGGTAAGCGCGCTCCATCGTAGACCATAATATTGCTTTCCATCAGGCGAATTATGGTCAAGCGCTTACCTATTAACGAATAAAAAAAAAAAATCGATTTTAAAAGTAGGAAAACTTCACTTCAGTATACTGTTATTTGGATGCAATCTTTTATCATCATTATCAACTCTAATGTTCCAGGAACATTAGGCGGTGGTGAAGTTAGCAGCGAGCGCAACTACCACCAGTTTGCTTCGATTTTGCCGTAGATGACCGTTACAAAATTTATCATAATCAACTGGTACCGTCGACCAATAGAGTCAAATAATAGGATCTGTTTAGGTGCGAGGTGCGGTGAAGCGGGGAGAGTTGGGAGCGGCCAACTCGAAGCGTACGCGTTCGCTTCGATGAGCAGGTTTCAGGTACATTAGAGTCGTTTCAATTACACTACAGTTGGTTCAACAGCGCCGTGACCTGCGCTAACTTCACAGCTGTCATTAAGTGTAAATCGCACTATACAAGTTTTCTTGGATGAAGTATTTAATTGACTTCATAAATGTAAGCTCGTTGGTTGACATATTAACGACCATAAATTTTAATGTTGATGTTGCCACGTAATAACACTACACCAAGCATACAAGCCTAAAGTTTAATTGACGTGCCTGAGTGTAGTAGTTGAAGTAACAGTAACAAATTATAACTTTACAATGAAGCAGAGAGTTGAGTTACATTATTTATCAATACAGATATTTCAAATGCTTATGAATTTATTAGTGTGATAAGATCAAATATTTGTACCTATTAGAGATTATCTGGAATGTAACATCGTTGAGTGTGAATTGAATTTCTGATCTAACCTATGTTATTTCTGTATTAAAAACAGAAGGTTTTTATTAATTCAAGTTAAATTATTAACGGGAATATGGGCGTCATTAATAGTGCCTATCACTTTAGGCACGATTAATGACGAATGTGTAAAAACTAATCAATAAAAACATTACCCTCCGGCAGTCGGGTAACAATATACACATTAAAGAAGATGAAATCATTTTTCGCCTTCTATAAATGTACAAATTCCTTTGGCTGTAAAATCATTTGAATTCTGATGATGCTTGGCTTTTCCATTAATCCACACTATGTATAAACATACAAAATTACAATATAGTTTTTCAATTGCGTTCCAGTTTTACAGAGAACGTTTAACACGAAATTGTGATTTCGCAATTAAGTAATAAATCGTATAATAATTGTACAGAACGTGAGTTCTTTATCTAGATTGTAGGTAGAAACTTAGATCCAGTATCGATTCACAATTTATCGGTTCGTTTATAAATTGACGGCATGAAATATCTATCCAGAAAATAGTTAACAGTTTTCATCATTTATACACAGTTTTCGATTGAAAACTAAACGTAACTATAAAGTAACGATTTTTACATTTACGAAATGTATAATACATTGATGTCCATCCTGGTATAATTCACTGACCCTAAAATTTAATTGAACAACAATGTATCCTTGTCATTCTCTATACAGAATAAAGAACAGAGACTTATGTTAAATTTAGCTTTAAGTTTAGAGAATCACGCCGGAGTTGTCACCATTATACACTTAAAGTCAGTTTCAATCAAATCGGTACCAAAGGTAAATATTTTAATCTTGTAACATTCAAAATTACGCAAACTAAAAGCTTTCCTCATTCCCACCATGCATAGTGATCAACTACATATATACTATGGACACGTTATAACATATGTGTGGAATATAATTGCTTAAAAAACGAAATAGTGAGCCGTTCTGGCTTCGTACGAAAGTAATTTGCAGGGGTAATATTGAGATTTCAATACAAAAGTACTAACCTCGACTAACGAAATTACTGGTGAATTTTCATACAAAGGTGTTTCATACAAACCTTGTGTATTGTAAATTTGATTGAAACAGACTTTATATACACTTAACGTGACAATTTGAATAAGGAAAAGATATGCCTAGTTTTTGTTTTATGTCTATTTACTTACTCTCATGCTGCATGGTTTTTCAAGTCGAATATCTCCATTAGTAGGGGCTCTATAGGGTTTACGTCGAGGTATACTCCAGTTACCTCTTCAGCCAGTTTTTTCAACTCCAGAATCTTCTGGATGAGTTTTAGAAAAGTGGACTTGGCCTCACAGCCGGGGTAAATGCTTTCTAGATACCTGCGTAATAAGTAGTAGTAGGAATTCTGCAAAGAGAAAATGACATATGGTCACAAAAGACATTTTATATATATGTCTTTTATGACACTGTAACGTTGCAAGTTTTGCATTTCAGAGACAGATTATATATATATATATATATATATATATATATATATATATATATACTATTTTGATGACCTCCGTGGCCGAGTGGTTTGTACGCCGGGTTTCATGGTGTCGCCGACTCGAGAGGTCGAATCCCGGTGGGGGCAGATGTTTGTGTGATAAATACGTACATTTGTACTCCAGTAATGGATGTTTAATATGTATTTCTATATAAATATACTTATATATGTACAATATATGTATTCTATCCGTTACCCTAGTATCCCATAACACAAGCCTTATAGTGCTTACTTTGGGGCTAGGCTAATTGGTGTGTGTGTTGGAAATATTTAATATTAATTAATTTAAAATACCTATAACATTTTTCTTATAGTCTACTTTTTACTTCCATAAAATATTATGTCATGACAAACGGCATTTTATAAGAAACCTACTTTCTGACACTATTAACAGACTTATTTGTATATAGAGTAAGACGCTCGTTTCTGAGTTCGATCGAAATTTAATTTTTGTTTAAATAGCGTTGGTCTCCTGAATCGGTTCCTGAATTAAATTTCGATCGAACTAAGAAACGTGCGTCTTACTTTATTTACAAATAAGTCTGTTAATAGTGTCACAATGACCAGGATTATGTTCTCGTCGGTCCTCCAGCGGTGGTCGAACGTCGCTATGAACGACTCGTGCGTCTTGTAAATGTTGCCAAAGGTTGCCATGGCAACCTGTATACTTCAGCACGGTTGCCTTACCTGTTCCAGTTTGATGACGACCCGATGCAGCGCCCTAGGACGGGTGGGTGTGAATAGCAATATCGCCGATATGGCCAGGATTATGTGCTCGTCGGTCCTCCAACGGTGGTCAAACGTCGCTATGAACGACTCATGCGTCTTGTAAATGTTGTCAAAGGTTGCCATGGCAACCTGTATACTTCAGCACGGTTGCCTTACTTGTTCCAGTTTGATGACGTCCCGATGCAGCGCCCTAGGGCGGGTGGGTGTGAATAGCAATATCGCCGACATGACCAGGATTATGTTCTCGTCGTTCCTCTAGCGGTGGTCGAACGTCGCTATGAACGACTCGTGCGTCTTTTCAATGTCGCCAAAGGTTGCCATGGTAATCTATGTACTTCAGCACAGTTGCCTTACCTGTTCCAGTTTGATGACGTCCCGATGCAGCGCCCTAGGGCGCGTGGGTGTGAATAGCAATATCGCCGACATGACCAGGATTATGTTCTTGTCGGTCCGCAAGCGTTGGTCAAACGCCGCTATGAACGACTCGTGCGTCTTGTAAATGTTACCAAAGGTTGCCATGGTAACCTGGTTACTTCAGCACGGTTGCCTTACCTGTTCCAGTTTGATGACGTCCCGATGCAGCGCCCTAGGGCGGGTGGGTGTGAATAGCAATATCGCCGACATGACCAGGATTATGTTCTTGTCGGTCCTCAAGCGTTGGTCGAACGCCGCTATGAACGACTCGTGCGTCTTGTAAATGTTGCCAAAGGTTGCCATGGTAACCTGGTTACTTCAGCACGGTTGCCTTACCTGTTCCAGTTTGATGACGTCCCGATGCAGCGCCCTAGGGCGGGTGGGTGTGAATAGCAATATCGCCGACATGACCAGGATTATGTTCTTGTCGGTCCTCAAGCGTTGGTCGAACGCCGCTATGAACGACTCGTGCGTCTTGTAAATGTTGCCAAAGGTTGCCATGGTAACCTGTATACTTCAGCACGGTTGCCTTACCTGTTCCAGTTTGATGACGTCCCGATGCAGCGCCCTAGGCCGGGTGGGTGTGAATAGCAATATCGCCGACATGACCAGGATTATGTTCTCGTCGGTCCGCCAGCGCTGGTCGAACGTCGCTATAAACGACTCGTGCGTCTTGTAAATGTTGCCTTTGGCCAACTTAAGTACGTCAGAGCGTATGCAACCGAATTGCTCTTGGCAGTGAGGCAGCTAGAAAAATTATTTTGTGTTAATGATACTTTCATTAGTTTTAAATTTAAGCAAGTGGCGTAGCGTAAGTAATTATATTCGCAGAGGATATTCGTGTAGCTACACACATAATCGGGTCGGCATAGTGGCTTCGGCAGTATTTGTCGAACAACAAAACTGACCCGAAGTAATTAATGCACTTGTTTGGCTTCATTCGGGTCATCTTCATTCGTTGCTCCGTTTTCAATCTTCACTTAAAATTAAGCCCAACGGGTTGTGATACCCGAACATTCATCTACATATATTCGATTTTACCGCCCTGCTGTACCGATTAATGCCGGCCCGATTATGTTTGTAGCTACCCTAACGAAAATGTGTTAGATTTATTCAAATTTATAAGAAGCAAAACTAAAGTTGAAATAATTCGATCGATAATTCCACCGCAACCGCGGCGCGGCGTTTTCGCAACAATACTTTCGCCAATGTTAAATCTGCCCTAGCAATATCATAAATGCATTAGCTGCTCTGTTTATGGTGCTTTCGCATTTGAAAACCTGTATAGATTATAACAAAGGGAGGATACTTATTATCGTAAATACATTACAAATAAAATAAATAAATAAATACACTTATCTTGAAGGAGGTAAATAGGGGATGAAAGCTTATTTATATATAAGCCCAACTAGCAAACTGGCTGTATAAAACAGCGATATAACAGCCTTTTAATGGAAACTGGCGACGGCTTCGGCTGTTTAAGAAGCTCTACAGTATTTGTATAAGCGGCTACAGAACTTTTATACCTTCAAATTGGGCACAAATTATACAATTATACATAAATAGATATACTCTTTCTTACTTACATATACACAATTAAAGGGCTTACAAAACAGATAGTAAATTATGGTGGTGGTTATATGTCCTTTCTCGGGACTCAAATTATATTTATATTCATTTAAATTGGTTCAGCGGCATATGAGTGAAGAGGTAATTAGACAGACAGATACACTTTCGCATTTATAATATTAGTATGGATACGGATTCGCACAGCTACACTGAGCTCAACTCTACCTCGCATAGCTACACTTAGATCAACGTCGCCTCACACGAGTCCCGTAGATGATTCCGAAATCCATTTTACCAAATAACAGATCCCATAATTATTTTAGACTTTTATAATTCTCACCGACTACAGACCAATGAACATTAGACCAACTCATCGTTTGAGCTTTCTGCAGTTTACCGAATGGATATGAAACCGTAGTATCATTGGCATTATGTACAATTTCTCCCACTCCATTAAATTCATATGAACTACAGTAAACACAAATGATGAGTTGGTCAAACGTTCATTGGTCTGTAGTTCATTCAGTGAGAATTATACAAGTGTAAAATTATTATGAGATCTGTTATTTTGTAAAACAATTTTCGGAATAGTGTACGGGATTCGCCTCGCACAGCTTCACTGAGCTAAAGTTCGCCTCGCAAAGCTGCAGTGAGCACAACTAAGCCTCGCACAGCTTCACTGAGCTAAAATTCGCCTCGCACAGCTGCAGTGAGCACAACTAAGCCTCGCACAGCTACACTGAACTAAAGCCCGCTTCGTACAGCTACAATGAGATCAACTCTGCTTCGTACAACACCGAGCTCAACTCCTCCGCGCAAAGCTACACTGAGTTCAACTCCACCTCGCACAGCTACACAAGGCGGGTCCACACAGAGCGAAGCTCGGTTAGTGTAGACGTGCCTCGGCCGAGGCAAGCGCGCACGCTGCTGCGGGTGAGCGTCCGAGCGCCCGACCCTTCAAGTGTCGGCTTTATGTTTTTTTTGCTCAAAGATGTTTGCCGCGCGCACTCTGGACGCTTTCGTATTTTGTTTCGAGCCTCGCTCGAGCATAATAATTATGAAAAAAGATAAGTGTTTGAAATGAATATCTCTCTATGAAGTAAACAGTCGGACATATCTATAAAAAAAGAAAAAAAACCTGGCTATGGAATGGAAGTGAACCTAAAATTACAAATAGAGGACGTATGGAAGATTAAATAATCCTATTTATAGGGATAAAAGCAACAATTGCCTCCGCAACACGTACGTTTGGTGCCATGATGTCCTTAGCCGACATTCGATAGCTCGGGCGCTCGGTCGCTCGCATGCGGCAGCGCGCGCGCCTTCCTCTCCACTAACCGAGCTGCCTCGCGTGGTCTATTGAGTTCAACTCCGCCTCGCCTAGCTGCAATGAGCTCAACTAAGCCGCGCGCAGCTACACTGAGCTCAACTCCGCCTTGCATACCTAAACTAGGCCTCGCACAGCGACAATGAGTTCAACTCCGCCTCGCACAGCTATCTTGAGCTTAACTTAGCCTCGCAAGGCTGCAACGAGCACAACTTTGCCTCACACAGCTGCAATGAGCACAACTCCGCCTCGCACAGCTGCAATGAGCTCAACTCCGCCTCGCACAGCTGCAGTGTGCACAACTCCGCCTCGCACAGATGTAATGAGCTTAACTAAGCCGCGCACAGCTACGCTGAACTAAACTTCACATCCGTCGCACAGCCACGCGCTATATAATTTTTAATGTAATTCTTCTCAACTGCGCTAATACTGTTTCAAATGAGGACGTGAGGAGTGACGTTGAGATGTATATTTTGAACACATCTCTGCTTTTTCGGAAACGCAGCCTCAAAGTCATGTAATGCATTTTTGACGCTTTACCACCCTGTAAGATTTATAATTAGGAGAATCTTACCTTCCACTGATTCCGTTGACCGTCGTAGGACATAGTACCCCGTAGAACCATCATCTCTATACACCCACCTTTAAGGAGAGCTACCTGCGTATAATTAATATAATATTGGATAAGATCATTATCTTGCAACAGTTTAAATTTAATGCTAATTATTAAGAAGTGGAGTGATATATCAAAACACGGTTTATAGAGGTTGTTGGGTCATTAATAAGCAGGTGATGATGCTTACCTGATCTTCTTCGCACATGTTCTTGAAAGCGTTGATCTTTTTGGCCATTTTAATAAACCGCCTTATTGCTACGGCGGTAAGGTTCACTATCGTTATTAGACGTGGGTCGTGTTTGCCGTCGCCGTCCTAAAATAATTGTAATAATTAATTATAATAGTTATTAGATGCTTCCTGCGACTTCTTTTGCATAGAATAATTGAAACCTAAGAGAGAGGAAACCTTTGAATGGATCAGAGTTGCAAAGGATAGAATAAAATGGAAATATTTAGAGGAGGCTATGTAGAAAGACAAGCTGTTTCTAAAAATAATGACTCGAACGCTGATAATTTAGAATATAAAAAAGTTTATAGATTAAGAAAATGTTTTATCAGTTTGTTAAAATGAAATTAGCCTTTATTGCGGTTAATAAAGGCTAATTTCATTTTATTTTTATTTTATTATTATTAACCAACATAACTAATACAGTTCTTTCAGAGAAGTTGAGATTGTTGTTCCATATGTTAAAAGCAATAAAGTACATTTCGATCTAGTAAAGAAGAGGTCCGAAAATCATCTCTAATTTTGTCGCTATAAGGAACTAACACGACCTGTCAGGATGACATTCTATCATCAGCCGCACTTTAGCTTATAAAAACTAAGTAAATAATACTATTTGTATGGCAGAACAATAAATTTTGAGTGTTACACATTGTATTGGAAGCGACATGATGTCACATTAAAACATGTATTGATTGACATGTTGTATGCAAACGTATAGGGCAGCGAAAATAAAGGATGATGTGAACATCGATATCGTTTGTCACCTGTAGAATAAGCTATGGATCTCTCTCTCTCTCTTGCTTGTTGTAATTATTATTTTTCATTGGTCTTGTAGTAATAATGTATACATTTGTTAAAAAATCGTCACAACATAAACTGTCCGACGGTATAAATTAGGGATGCAACGACAGTTAATTTTCTAATTGTTATTTTTATTATTGTTTCTTTTTATTTCTTCAATTAACTACGTCAATACTGTCAATATCAAACAAAAGGGACAGGTGTGTTCAGAACACGTTATGTTAATATATATATATATATATACATACATTTTACTCCAAACTACAAAACATATTGGGAATAAGTGAATCTATATATCGTATCATGGTGTCGGGCGCGGACATGGCACGGTCGGATTCCCATTTCATTCAAATTTCGTTCAAAATACATGATAACATTTATACAAGTAGGTAAGGCAGGACAAGTGTAATCACCCTAAGTTTGGCGGTGTCCCCGATCAGCTGTGATATGTCGTCGTCGAGCGGTGTGTGGTGAGCCTTGTTCGCTACTATCAGCTCATTCAATTTGGCCTGCTCCACCTGTACCAAATAAAAACGAGCGAGCCATACAGTAGAGATACAGTAGATATTAGCTTTGTTCAGTGAGTATGCCAGACGAGGGTACTTCGCCTCATAGCGCGAAAACAGACAAATCTATTCTAAGTAACTTGCTTTCTTAAATTTATTTCCACGCATATCAAACCCTAAATATTGTAACCCTACTATTTTGTAATGTAGAAGGATGTATGCTTACATTTTAGACGTATGTTACTGAATCACGCAAAAACGGTGAATGGATTTGGATGATTTGGCATACATAACAGATAATACCTTGATTGAGACATAAGATACTTTTAAGTTTTATACTGAAGAAATCACGAGCGGAAAATAGTATTTAATAAAACAATCTTTTATAGAAAAATATATTGTGTAATTATGAGAAGTTAAAAAATAAAAAAAACTGATAAAATTTGCCAAGTTTCGGGCTACGCCTTGCAATTGCTTAGTTTTGAGTCATCAATTATATTACTTTTTATGGTGCTCTTACAGGGTTCTTGTGTGTACTGTAATGACATGTCATGCCAGCACTTCACTTGAATATTCGTGTTTGGTATTTGTAAATCAGACCAGACTAGAACAAGACCAGATCAGGCTAATAAATAGCAAATACGAATAACTTAGTGAAGTGCCGGAATAAGATCTGTTATAAACAACAGAAGAAGACAAACAACTTAATGAATTTTATGATACAACATGAATTGTCTAGAACGGAGGATGGAAATAGCTAAACTTTATGGGTTTCCTGTTAACTCCTTACCCTTAGCACTCATACGTACTGGCGGTTAACCGCGTAGGCGGCTAACCACGCTGCTTTTTCATTTTTTTATGCAAATGCGTGTGATTTTTTGGCTGTTAACTGCGTACTGTTACACCCCTTAAATGTTCATAAATAGCTGACAGCCATAACTGATGCTGCGGCATCAGCATTTCAGACCAGCGTCGGACGATTAGCATCAGTCCCATTCAAGCCACTGGTCGTGACGGTTGTGTGCTAATTAATTATAATTAAATCCCGTTTTATTTATTAAAAACCTCAACCCAGGGACTCGTTATAACAGTACGATCTTACTGAATCCTCATTAGACAGATTTTAAAAACAATGGTATTTTTTTCATATAATAAGTACTTTATCGTAACTTTAATCTGGAGACGTCATAATTGATTCTCGATTAATGAATTAAAAGATAAATGTAATTACCGAACAATAAAGACGTAAACTCAATCGTCGCTAAGGAATGATAACACAATACTTAATTCATGTTTATAAATTAAATGATATCAGTAGGTATGTACTATCGAACAAATTCATTCCTTACTTGCTGTATAATTCGTTTAAAAATATCAAAACAGACAAGTTTTCTTCTAAAGAGAATGCGCAGTTTCACTTAGGACCTTCTAGTAACAAGAAAACTGATTTGTGTGATGCGGATCAAAGATCTTTGAAATTTGCTCTTTAATTCAAATGCAGTAGATTATCTTTTAGAGCAACCGCACATTGAGCCACTAAACACGACCACTAGTGGCTCAGTCAAGCCACTAGACACAGCCGCCAATCGAACCCGCTTTTGACTTAAATCGCGTTTAGTGGCGACCATTAGTGGCTCAGTGATCTCCACCACAAACTAGTGGCTTAATGTGGGGTTGCTATTAGATAAAATTCGAATTGTATACTTTGAATTTCGAAATTATGGCTCAATTACACTTGGTTGTTAGCCCGTATTCGGGTTCACGAAAGACATTACTCGAATTCGGGCACCCGGAGTAATATTTACACTGGAATACGGACTGGAAGACAATGCCGGGTAACCAAAACGAAAACTGCCCGAATACGACATACGACGGGCGTACTCGACACCGTTCATTTACACTGAGGCACTGACCGCCTCAGAGCCTGGGTCGCCAGTCTGGTCGAACACCTAAGGTCCACTTGCCGAAATTTTCCTAAATCTCAATTTAACTAAAACTAGCTTTTGCCTATTCTATAATTGACATTTACGTTTTGACATTTTTCAATGGATTGTAATTTTTATTACCTCATTCAACTCCCTGGAAGACCCGCTGCATGCATTGACAGACGTGTTAGCTTCGAATTCCAGCTTTATCGCCTCACACAATATCGACTCCATAGAATTAGGTTCTATTCTGCAAAACATTTATAAATTTAAATAAAAGAAGCAATGTTAGTATTAGGGATACGAAACAGGAAGAAGTCAATTTGTTTCTTAGGTTTTCACGCACATCACTCATTAAATAAAACTAGTTTTTACGGGTTAATGCACGAAACTTTATTTATTTATTGACGTTTCGCAGCCTTTTCAGGTCTGCATCGGCAGAATAATGATTTTTTATTTTAATTAAATGCAGTGGTTAGGATAGCTAAGATGTTTTTAATCTGCAATAATAGAATTGCAATGTCGATAGCACCCAATAACCGAACTGGGTTGACTTGGTGTGTAATGGCCTATTCTATTAATTCTGTCCATAGTCCACATAAGAAAAGTTTGTGTATCAGCAGTGGAAACATTTAAAGGCTAATGGTGGTGAAATTTACCTTTCAACATCCTGCAAGATGTCCCTGGCTTTATTCACATCAGGATCAGTGCTTGTGGAGGGTAGTTCCTCACACACATGCTGCATCTTAGGACTGGAGTATGTCATGGTGTCTCCGTTTGTTAATAAAGACCTTAAGGAAAAATAAATTTGTTTGTATGGGAATTAATACAAACTGAAAATGGTTAGGAGCTTTATTGTCATGGAAATCCATCTTATAGAAGAAAAGTAAAATACTTTACTTTAAGAATAACAATAATATTTTTTTGTAAAATTGGCTGTTTGCTACACTTTGACATAAGTATACATTTATATACTAAAATTATGTTTAAACAATATATAAAAAAAATGTACCTGAAAGTATGACATACATTCAACTATACTGAAACATGCTGTACAGAAAATTTGGAGATACTAAATTACAGTAGAAAAGGTAACCCTAACAATTTTCCACTTTTCATTTTAAATCTGTTGTTTTATCTACATAGTCAGACAATTAATTTAGATGAAAAAGCATGTTTCTGTATATTTTCTATTATTACAGGCACAAATATTAGGTATTAAGACCTGAGTTGAAATTAAAACATGTTTTGAACATGATTATCACAATTTTTTTTGATGATAGTTTTAAGACCTGAGGTGAAATTAAAACTTGTTTTGTCATGATTTAAATAGTTTTAAGTATATTGTGTTTTTCCGTGTGACTAGTGGCCACTAGAGACTTTAAAAAAATCCAAGATAAAAAGTCCCAGACTATATGCATACCAAATTTCATCTAAATCCGTTCCATAGTTTTTGCGTGATTGAGTACCAAACATAAAATTTTCACATTTATAATATTAGTAGAACTATGCTCGAAATGTGTATATATGGGGGATCTTGATATTTTTGCTATTCAAATGAAATAGTGATAGCAATGTAGCATGTAAAATAAAATATTAATATATAAATGTAACCAATATTAATTGTAGCAAGCAGTTACAAAAGACAGGAAATAATTATGTAATTGTATATTTGCCATTTCTAAGAAATTGGTTATCAGTAGATAAAACACTCTTATATCTACCCAGTTGATAGTCTCAATGGTGTAAGTAAATATATATTGATTCATTATATTGATAGCTTGAGTATTTTATAAAAATATTACTAATTTAACAAAAATTAACGAATGAAGGTTTTGTAACGAGGGCAGAAACCTGTCTGTAATCAAATTATAAAAATAATAGGACAATAATTATAGCATGGTTCTATTACCAAAGTAGATATTAAAGTAGACAGTTTTTGGTATCCAATGGTATTTGGTAAACCAAAAACACCAACTCCAAGAAGGAACTACTCTGATCTAAGTAGAGATCAAAGACCTCATAGGAGATAGTACTACCAAGTAATCAAAGTGATTGCTATTTGCTATTCTGAGATCATCTAAGTATACATAATAAATACTACATGTACTTAAATAGAGTCTGTGCGGAAAGAGAATGGGCGTGGCGAAAAACGGAACTAACATTAAAATTTTTATTTGGCAATCAAATCCAGCAATCTGTAAAACTTCAAAGTTTTGTATTGATACGGATTTATTAGTTGTTGTGATTTCTTGCGTTTTTTTGTATTTAATCATGTCTAAAAGGGGTAAAACCTTGCAAATATGGTAGAAAAGCACTACAGTGCCCTCCAATCTAAATCCCATTCTCTTTCCGCACAGACTACAAACCTTAGCAGTGTTGAAAAATACTACACTGAATTTGCATAAAATAAGAATGTATAATAAGTAAAAGCCTAGCATTCATTCATTATTAATGTTATTATAGATAATGCAGGAAGGTAATTGAGACACCTGATAATTGCTTGCATTCAGTATTATTTATTATTATGTTTTTGTGTTTAAACATTTTATATATGTCTCAATTTCAGTTAATAAATTAATTCAACCTTATGGCAGTGTCCAGCAGTGGTCAATTTATTACCAGGAACAGTTTACTAACAAAGGTTATTTAAAAATTTGGACTTAAATTGCTACCTTCTTCATACTACATTCAGGGATTGATCAGATATTTTAACTGTGTAAGTCAGAATCATATCGATTTCATAAATTAACATCTTTAGAATAAAAACTTACCTTATGCTATTTTGCTTAGGTGGGTCTTCATATAAATTACTACTTTCCATAGTGTCATACATATTGTAAGACTCTGGCTGTACCCTATGATTATATATTGTTCTGTTTATCACAGATTTCTCATCAATGGGGTAAATCTTCATTGTATATTGCTCATTACTTTGTACACTTGGTACTGGGGTATAATAGATTGGAGGAGAATGTAAAGATGAGTCCAAATCATTGCTTAACGGTGACTGTACAGTAGTACTACTTGGACTGCATGTGGTACTATTCAATACATCGTATTGCACTACAGATTCGGGAGTGTGTTGTGAATAACTATTACTCCTTATGTCTTCATCACGTTTACACATTTTGGAACTTGACACAGCATCCTCTGGGGAAGGATGCTGTCGCTTTTTCGCACGATTCTCTTCTATCTTCTTTCTTTTCTCTGCTTTGTCTTCTTCTGACATAATGAACTCCTTTACCATACCTATTGATAAACACTTTGCTAACCGACATTTCTGACAAAATCTCCGCGTGACGACCGTAATTTCACAATTATTTGTAAAAGGGCACTTAAACTCTTTACTGGTCAATGCGTTACGTCTGAAAAATGCTTTACAACTCTCACAGGATATGGCATTGAAGTTGTAACCAAGGGCTTTGTCACCACACACAAGACATATTTTCTGCAGGCCAGCAGGAAATTCCTTTTTAGGCGAATTCGAGTTTCCATCGTCTTTTTTTATACAATTCTCACTACTATTATCCATTTTCAAATAAACAATATCAAAACACTACAAAAAACATCATTGAAGAAACTTGGATAACAAAGTTTCGTATGAGTTATCCTCTTCATACATACTGCCAAAGACGAAATATCTAAACTAAAAGTTCTTGATATTTAGCCAATGTCGAATGATAACAGATATATAAATTAAATAGGTACGATCTACGATATTATTAATAAAATGTAATTCTTTGGCGATGACTAATGTCACAAATTGAAGCATAGATTACAGAGTTATCGGATAAACTGAAGTACAGTAGGTACCTATTTGGCGTTTAGTTAGTAATGACTGGCTTTACTTGGCTATTCGTGTTTGCTGTTTGAGAACTTGACAACAGTCTATCTGTACTTAAAATGCTTTAGTTTTTATGGAATGAAAAGGACAGACTAATGTCAAGTTTACAAAAGGCAAACACGTTAAACGAGCGAATTGCCGGCACAACATGACGGCTCTTCACATGGATGTCATTTTGACAGCAGGCTGTCCTTTTTAACATTCTCTCTTTTCAGGAAAGTTAAAGGTAATAATGACCATACAGACTAGTGTTAAGCCATATTAATCTTCTTTTTTTTAATTAATATGCGGTATGACGCTTTGTATTGTTTCTTGGAATGTTTGGTAGGTACGAAATGTATCGAGTTACCTTCTTCGATGAGCTTCTATGAGGTAGTCAACACTACAATAAAGTTCTCAGGTCCACTTGACCGGAATAGCGTATATTTTAATGATTCCACTTATTCTTCAGTTGCGAGAAGGTTGTAACACAAAATCACACAAAGCCGCACAAGATGAAATCGCGCCAAAATCTTCGAAGGCTGTCTTATCATTGTGGAGTGTCTGTTCAAAAGGAGATATTTCTGTCATAACAAAATAATTGTACTTAAATTAAAAAGAAGGGGACATGTGCTGTTCACATGCGATAGAAGTGAAACCTACAAAAATGTGAACACGTAAAATTACTTCATAACTAGGTACCTACTATAAAATACTGGGCAAAATTTAATATTCTGTACTTTAATTTGTCTCGAAAAGTAAATAAATACTTAATAAAAGAAAAAAAAACAATTAATAAGAAATACCTAATATCTTAATAAAAGAAAAAAATAACTAAAGGAATAACTGAGTTTAGGATCTAACCACCGATCATTTGGTATCGTCCCCAAGACCGTTCCCTTCGGCTATCTTAAAGTAAATGATAAAATTACGGATACATAACTTGTGTCATGTTTCATTTTTATTGTAGTTTGTGTTCAGTTATTTTAAATAAAATGTAAAATTTCATGATCTGCCTTTTATTTAAAATGCTACTTATGTTATTTAGAAAAAAACACGAGTGCGCTAATGACCACACGACTGAAGTGAAACTTCTTTAGCTGCATCTGTATGTATATATATATATATAACATAGTAATATGTACATATTTCATTTACTATTTATAAGAGAAAATGCTTGCTTCTATCTGAAGAAAGAAAGAAAAGAAAGGGGCGGCAGCCGGATGAACATATATTAAAATGGTAGGAAAGTCAAAACTGTACATTGAATATTTTTTTAAAATAATACTTGGGGTGTGATCTGCAATCGATACCGAAGCAAAAAATATAGTTTTTAGAATTTTTGTCTGTATGTATGTATGTCCGCAATAAACTCAAAAAGTAGATAGATAGATTAACACTTTATTATAACACCAAATAAATAATTACGTAACATTCACAAACAATAATATTAACAAAAGCGTTATAATTGGCGGTCTTATCGCTAAGAGCGATTTCTTCCAGACAACCACTGAGTATGAAAAGTTATACAGAGACCATAGGGGTGTTAAATGGCTTGGAATAAATAGTCACATTCATACATACAATCAACATCAAACTAAGTATCCTAATTAGACATATAAATATACACACATCAAAAGTGTCTAGGGATCAAGCATTTTTATGCGGATTTCTTGAGATTGAGATGTGGCTTTGTAATAAATTTATGATTTTATAAATTTATATGGATCCTTTTTGGTGCATTTCATAATTTGAATCAGGAACTGTGAATCAAATTCGAGTAAAAGATGAAAATCAGCTGTCAATATTTTCCCTATAAAAACATACAACGCATTGAAGACATTATTAGTGCTACTGTTTCCCTACTACTGATTAAAACCAACGTTATTATGGAGCGGCGACGTCATTTAAGCAGGGAAGAAATGCTCAGAGCCGTGGGAATGATAGAAGCTGGTTCCCGGCAACGTACTGTGGCTTTAGCTCTGAATACAAGTCAGAGTGTTATCAGTCGACTTTGGACACGATACCGAAGCACTGGTACCGTGGCTGAGCGCCATGGAGGACGGTATCGCTGCACCACACGGAGACAAGACCGATACATTCAAATCTTAACTCGAAGAGCTCCAACAATAACCGCCATGATGTTAGCCGTGAGGCTTCATCACTCTTCAGGGAACTTAATTAGCGACCAAACAGTCAGAAACCGCTTGCATGAAGTGAACCTTCATTCCCGAAGACCGCTACGGGTACCACCTATAGCAATGCACAATCGTAGGATTCGATATCAATGGGCTCTTGAACACAGAAATTGGGCAGAAGAACAATGGCGTTTTGTGTGCTTTTCTGATGAGTCTCGTTTTGGTATGAGACCGGATACAAGACGTATACGACACTGGAGAACCCCTGGACGCCAACAGCGATTAAAATCCTGCCAGGAAGTCCATCCTTATAGTGGTGGAACCATCATGGTATGGGCGGGTATTTGGATCGGCGGAAGAACTGAGTTGATTTGGATCAGAGGCAACCTCAACGCTCAAATTTATGCTGAGACGATTGTATCAGACGTCATCGTTCCTCTACAAGTGCAAATCGGTCCCTTATTTCAGTTAATGCATGATAATGCACGACCGCACACCGCAAGAGTTGTAAGACAGACTCTCGCCGCAGCTAACATCAATGTCCTGCCCTGGCCTGCTCAGTCGCCAGACTTGAACCCGATTGAGCATGCATGGGATATGCTACAGAGAAGAGCTCTGCCGAATATGGAGGGTATCCAGTCGCAAGAAGACCTTTTTTTGTTGTTGCAACGAACATGGGCGGCCATTCCACAGCGTGATTTGGATGAACTCATTTTGAGTATGCCAAACCGATGTTCTTGTGTTGTTAGTGTTCGCGGTAGAAATACGGATTATTAATTGTTTAAGTTACCCAATAAAATTTTAGAGAAAACTGTTATTTCAGTCTTTTTTTCGAACTTTTGTGTTAGTGGTTCAAATGTCAAAAATCCCTTTATTAGGAAAATCGCAAATTTCTTTATTAATGCAAAGGTGACTTGGTTTTTTCGTTACTGTGACAAACGAAAACACTTTATTTGATGAATCCTTAAAGAAAATTTTAATTAATATCAATCAGGAGAAAAGTTATTGCAAAAATATATGTTGATCCCTAGACACTTTTGATGTGTGTATATACATACATACACATACATATATATGCACATACATATACATATATACATATGCATTCAATAACATATAAACATACTTACATATATATACATACACATACATACATAAACATAACATATATACAATAGAAAGTTTACACAGTAAAATCAGATTCACTGCGAAAGATAGAAATTTTTGAGCTGGTCTTTGAATATTTTCAAAGACTGAGCGCGTCTGATATTAGTAGGCAACGAGTTCGAAAGCCGAACAGCTTGTATAGCAAAAGAATGGTCATAATAGCTGGTGCGGTGAAAAGGCATTGTAAGGGTCAGATTTTTTGATGACCTAAGGGAAAGCGATAGGGAATTTTGAAACTTAAAAAGTTCCTTGAGATAGCGCGGGGAGAAGGGATTAAACAAAATACTGTAAAGGAGTGCTAGTATGTGAGTATTCCGGCGAAGCCTAATGGGAAGCCACTTGAGCTTAGAGCGAAAGTTGGAAACGTGATCATATCTGCGCAAGCCAAATATAAATCTGATAAAGTTTTGGAGTCGCTCAAGTTTATTCAGCTGTTCCTCCGTTAAATCCAAATAGCAGGAGTCGGCGTAGTCTAGTAAAGGAAGCAACAGAGATTGTGCTAGTGCAATTTTAGTGGCTGTAGGAAGAAAGTTGCGCAATCTTCTGAGAGACGCCGCCGACGCATATAACCTGCGACTGACTGACTGTAGCTGTAGGCCCCAACTTAAAGTATTGTCGATGGTCACACCTAAATTTCTAACAGATGAACTGTACGGAATATTAGTTCCAGCAAAGTTGACCATAGGGACAGTTTTTAAGGTAACCTTTGCCATCATTTGGGAACTACCGACTACGATAGCCTGTGATTTTGCAGGATTTACTATAAGGCCAAAAGCTTTGCACCAGTCAGCGATACGTTCTAAATCTAAAGAGATAGTAGATATTGCATCATTCAACTGTGAAACGGACGCTTCGCAATACAACTGGAGATCATCTGCATACAAGTGGTAGAACGATGACAGACAGTAATAATCAAAGTACTGCATGCATTTACTTCAAATTTGTCACGAATATTATTAAGAAGTCGGGTCAACATGTAGGCTACATATTATCACGCTATCATCTACGGGGAACGAGCAGTGAACCTTTATTTCTAACTAACTCCACGCGTACGAAGTCGCGGGCGGCCGCTAGTTTGTTATAGAAATTAAATTATTTTTGTTCTATAACAACGTATACTTGGACCTATTGGGTTGAAAAGTATGTGCCCAGTGTGTGTGGTGTGCCATGGTGCCCAGGAACCTTACTCACCGACAGAAACACAACACCACCAAAAGGTTGTGTTATTTTAGTGTGGTCTTCTATAAGGTGGGGGTTCTTTCCTCAGACCGGCGCTCCAATTCGAACGTTTATCTGTTATGTTCTACTTCTCTTGATTACCAACCCCACTGCTGGGCAAAGACCTCCCCTATGGACGGCACAAGGAGAATGGGTCATGAGTCATGACCCACCAAGCAGGCCCAAATTGGTAGGTGCTAACGATTCCAGATGCAGTTTAATGCTTAAAACAACAATAAAAAAAAATCGGTAGCAGCGGAGTGCGTCCGCCCGGATAGCGGGAGGTGCGGGTTCGAATCATGTCCTATACATCGACCGAGTAATTTTTTTTTCCGTAAAATTTCTAATTCGCTAGCAATAATAAAAATATAGATTTTGTTTTATTTTACTCAGTCCCAAAGTAAGTAAAACTTATAAGGAGTTAAACAAATTACGTAAGCATAGAATATGAGTATACAAAATCTAGGTATGTTTTTATTAAACCAAACAATACAGGACTAGTGAATATTATACCTAGTCAGGTCATAAATACTGTCACATGTTTAATATAAAATAATTGAAAGAAGTTTATTCATTATGTAACCATTTATATACCAAAATGAACTTAACAAAACATATATTCTTATGACAATAAAGTTTATTCAAAATGACCTCCGTGATTTTGAATACAGGCCTTCAATCTGCGCGGCCAGTCGTCTATCGCAGCACGAACGAGGTCCATGTCAATATCGGCGGCTGCCTTAATCAAGGATGTCTTGAGTGACTCCAAATTGGGATGAGGCTTTGAGCACGCCTTTTCCTCCAAGTGTTGCCATATATTGTAATCTAACGGACTCAAATCTGGACGACTGGAGGAGGGCCAGTCTTCGTGCCGGATGAAGTCTATTACACGCGCCGCCAGCCAGTCTTTGTGCTCTTTGCTCTATGAGCTGGCGCCGAATCTTGTTGGAATACCCAGTGCCTGTTAATGAACATGGTATGAGAAACAGGTTCCACAAGGTTCGTCAGGACTGTATTTTGATACACAACTGCATTCGTTTTTATACCTTTCTCACAAAAATGTACCTCTGTTAAGCCCCAATAAGAAACTCCCAACCATACCATGAGCGAGGTTGGAAAATGACCTCGATGGACACTCGGAATACGGTTGCTCGCTTCTTCACTACTGTGTGCGTACACCTTATCATTTTGATTTTTTTTTAATTTTTTTCATCCGAAAAAAGATTTTCCCGATATTTTTTCCCGCGTACCGCTTCAACAAAGCGCGGCATCTCTTCAGTCTCAGGTCCATTAGACGAGCATTCAAACGATGTCCTGTTTTTCTTCGATATGCCCGAAGCCCTAAGTCTTCATTTAACACCCTTTTCACCGTGGTTCTGCTTAACCCCATCTGAAGGGCCAACAGTTTCTGCTTACGTTTGGGATTTCTTTGAATTCGCGCCTTCACAGCTTTTATCACTGCTGGAGTCCTAACAGACCGAGGGCGATCACTTCTTGACCTGTCATCTACACTAGTCTTCATTGTATCGTTTGATGGTACGTTAACCGAATCTTTTGGTTATATTCAAATTTTTCAGTATATCAAAAATTTGAATTGGCGCGTAACCGCAACGATGTAACGCAATAACTGCAACACGGTCTTCTTTAAGCGTCCACTCCATATTTAAAAATGAGTAAAATTCTAAAAAGTATTCATTTTTATTTTCATGAATGATTCGAAATTCGAATTCAATAAACTTTTTTGTGTGTATATTTGCTCATAAACCAAATAGCTACATACCCCTACCGGGTTTTGAACTTAGAACCTTGGCAGCCAAGGACAAGAGCGCTATCGTTTGCATAAAGTTACCGATCTTCATATTATGATTCTATGTGTACAAGCTTCAGTTTGTGATACGTGATTGAATTCATCAACATTCAAACTTTAGAATAAATCAATAATAACAACACAATTTTCTAATGAAAACATAAGTATTGATGACATAATAAAACACGTATTGCGCGATCTCGCTAACTCTGTAATATTCGACTCAGCAAAATGTATGTCACAGTAAATTTTTAGAATAAGACTTTTGTAGGTGAAATAATGGTATTGCAGTATGAGGACTGAGAACAGGGGGGCATTCGTCTAACAGGATTGCTTTGGAAAACGCTATCGCTTAAGATTTCATTTTGTTATTTCTAGCCGCTTGAGGTTTTCAAATTCCTCGTTCCCTTTTTTTCTTTTGCATTGGTAATAACAATATTAAAGAAAAGGAGCGTGTGGTATTTCAAAACCTTCGGCGTTCGGAAATGACCAAATGAAATCGTAAGCGATAGCATTTTCCAAAGCAATCCCGTTAGGCGAATCCTCCCCTGATCTTTTTAGGGTTCCGTACCTCAAAAGAAAAAAACGGAACCCTTATTGGATCACTTTGTTGTCCGTCCGCCCGTTTCAAGACCGTTTTTCTCAGGAACGCGTAGAGGTATCAAACTAAAATTCATATCTAATACACATGCCTATTCTCCCTTGGAGCTGTTAAAAAGTCAAACTTCTGAAATTTTCCGCAAATTTTCGAAACTCGCACGGGAATCAAAATATACAGGGTACTTCCCGTGAATTGAGAATCTTGAAATTTGATACAAAGTAACGTCTTACAATACAGATAAAGAGAAAATTGCGAAAACCGTATATTTTTAGTTTAATCATTATAATAAAAAATATTATTGAAAATTTTAAAGTTATTACCTCTTTTCTCATGAATGCGTAGAGGTATTGAGTTTGTACGGAACCCTCGGTGCGCGAGTCCGATTCGCACTTGGCCGGTTTTTTTAAGGAAAAAATAGGAAAATAGCCTATTTCCCACCATTTGGCCCAAGTACAAATTGGTGGGTGCTAACGAGCATATGCAGCAGGTACCAAAGGTCAATTTACGTTCCATTACGCTAAAGGTTTTGGTCACCCATACTATATAATGAAATAATAAATGTTGCAGGGACTGCCCCACTTTAGTTGTGCTTGCGCTGCGGAATGTTTAAAAAAGTTTAAGTTTGAGTTTGACGGTTTCCATTTTATCTTGCGAAAAAAAGTAAAGTCACTGGTATGAAAGAAAGCGGATCAGTGACAACACAATGCTGAGAGTAGTGGCAGGGAATCCGCATGCACCATTGAAATAGGAGTTAATTATTCCTCTTGTTGTCGAACACTAAGTACATGATTTATTGAAAATGTAAAAAGATTTTACCTGACATTACAGCGCTATATTGATCTAGAAGAAATCCTTTAGATCAATATTCTTATTTCAATGAAGTTTTTGTAACATATTTCAATGAAGTGGGTCCCACATTTAAACATCTGGCTGTGCCTATAGTTTTACGATAAAAGAATTTGCCGAATGCGTAATTAGCAAATCTCGAACTTGCCCAACAACATGCAATTCTCGTATTGCGCCAAACGAAATAAATGCAATAACAAGGCGATTTCCCGTTCAAATCCAACTTAGAAATGGATCGGACGTGGTATAATTTGATATTAGTTCTAAACTTTCTTCATCTACTCGTTTCTGCCTATGGTGCGACGTATAGCGTGAAAATCGGCGAGCAACATGTTAACGTCGTGGACAAAAAATTTTTAAGTTTCACGGTGGACCCAATGCATTTGTTTTCAAGCGTTGAAGCCTACAATAAGTAAGTTCATAATAATATTACTATCCTGCATACATTAATCACAAATTTATTGAAACTATTAGCTGCCCATAACTTCGATTGCACAACATATTTATTTTTGTTTCTCAGCATTGAACTGATAGATTTTAAAATATAAAGGAAAATTAAGAAAAATATTTTTTCTAGCTTTTTAAGGATTTTTTGATAGTTCTTAGTTTTATTAGTAATATATCTGTAGCTACATTTCTACCTTACAATTAAATTTTCACCTCTTTCATTTCGTGACGAGAAGAAAGTAGGTAGTAGTTTTTCTTCTCCTTTTCCGAGGTCTTCTGTATCTTATTAATTTATCAATGCTTTCACTATTGAACTACTTCAGACCAATTTAATTGAAACAGAAAGGCAGAATAGAATTACATCCAATAAGTAAGTTCATAATAATATTACTATCCTGCATACATTAATCACAAATTTATTGAAACTATTAGCTGCCCATAACACAACATATTTATTTTTATTTCTCAGCATTGAAATGATAGATTTTCAAATATAAAGGAAAATTAAGAAAAATAATTTTTCTAGCTTTTTAAGGATTTTTTGATAGTTCTTAGTTTTATTAGTAATATATCTGTAGCTACATTTCTACCTTACAATAAAATTTTCACCTCTTTCATTTCGTGTCGAGAAGTAAGTAGGTAGTAATTTTTCTTCTCCTTTTCCGAGGTCTTCTGTATCTTATTAATTTATCAATGTTTTCACTATTGAACTACTTCAGACCAATTTAATTGAAACAGAAAGGCAGAATAGAATTACTTCCGAACATATTTTTTTCTCCTTTTCCGAGGTCTCCTGTATCTTATTAATTTATTAAAGCTTTCACGATTGAACTACTTCATACCAATTTTATTGAAACAGAAGGGCAAAATAGAATTACTTCCGTATATAATTAACCATTTACGTTAATGTGAGCGTAATGTATCGATTGGCGTACCAAACTTTGTGGTGTCTCGCACATTGGCTTCATCTTTTGGCCCCAGGTTTGAACTCCGGCTGGGTATATTATGTAGATAAACAACATTTTTCCTCAATATGATCTAGATTTTTGTAGTCCATTTTGTTTTTGATTTACTAAGCAGCTGCTTTAGTAACTCCCTTTGAAAGTATGATGTGACGTTGTTATGATTTTTAAATAAATTTTGTATTTTGATTGATCATTCGTATAGATGTGAATTAGAGTGTTGTACCTACTTAATTTTTTCAATTACTTTGTTTTTTGGTTAATCAAGACTTTATTTTATTAAAAGATTAAAAAAATGGGATTCGTAATGCGCGTGTGTAAACGTGTGTATCAACCATTAAGTCAATATATTTTGCATATGTCAGAAGCGTCTTGGATTACGCATGCTCTATTTGGTCTCCTCAATACATTATTTATAAAAGTCATATCGAGAAAATACAAAAAATCTTTGTCAACCATATCAGTTCTCGCTCTCGTAGCAGTTTTCAAACTTACGAAGACGCATGTAGGGAACACGGGCTGTTGCCGCTTGAGCAGAGGCGCGTATTAATGGTGTGTTTGCTGTATGATATTGTGCACAGTAAAATAGATTGTCCTGCATTAGTCTCAAAAATTCAAGTACCGTACACCAAAGTACCGCACTCGCAACACACCTCTTTTGCATGTTCCACTGCACCACAGCAATTATTCTTCGAACTCGGTACTCACGCGAATTGTCAGGACATACAATACATGTTTTCACAATATTGATATTTTCGCAAACACAAAAACTAAATTCAAACATGAAATAAAAAATAGACTACAGGGGAAAAAATCAAAAGGGTAAATACTAAAATTTAGTTATATTTAAAAGTAAAAATATTGAAGAATAAACGGAACAGAGAAAAGTATTCATTATGTAAATATTATATTTTATTTAAGATATTTATACCTACTACTTATATAAGATTACATAACGATTACATACGGATGGATAGTTTGATAATCGCTTCTTAGGGATAGAAATACCAATATTAAGTCACCTATTGCATTGTGGGGCAATGCCCTACCTTAAAAATACCAAAAACTATAATATATTTTTATAATTAAATTTTTTTTTTTCATAGTTTAACATATTTTTTCTTAAAAATAGGTATCTATCTTAACTTTCCCGAACATACCACAGTTGGTGACATTCATTTCACTTTAAAAAAAATCTTTGTTCTGTGTATCCCTATCTGTAACCAATGCTGCTTTACCACAAATTCGACTCAAGCTACAGCCCTGCCCCTAACCCGGTAACGCTTTAAAGATCATCTGTAACCAACGCAGCTAATTTTTAAAGCGTCACCACAACAATTATCTGATGGATGCATGCAATCTTTGAGCCCTTTATAACAGCATTCTGAAAACTTTGATGAGTTAGGTTCATTACTTACTTACTAGTAGTAACAGGCTTCTATCTTTGAAATCTGGATGATTTCGGAGTCTTGTGGAAGTACTTAGTATATTTTCTAGGATTTTAAAAAAATACTTATCAAAAAGTCTAAGTTAAGTAAAAAAAAAAAACTATTTTTAAAATCAGTTAATTATATTTCCATGAACAAAAAAGATTATATACGAATCTACTTTGCTAAGAAAAAAGTTTAACATCTATTAAAAAAAACACACAGTTTCTGTAAATGATGCGTGTTGCTTAGTTTTTTTTGATGTGTGTATATTCTTATCTGCACTATTAAAGATTTGTTTTTTTACATAATCAGTTGATATCTATTTATGATTACTGAGATGGAAATATTTATAGATAATTTATTTGTGATGTTCTACAGTCAGTTTATGAATGGTGGGGGACATCATATATTGAGCTTTTATTAAATCGCGGGCTTGGTAAGAGGCTTCTCCTTCAGAAGACTGAAGCTAAATGGTATTATTATGCAGTTTTATGTTCCTGCAGAAATAAAATTCGCTAGAAATAGCGTAGGAGTAGGAAATAGAGTAGGTACAATTCAAAAATAGCGAGGATAAAAAGCAAGGCAACATATTTTTGCAGTGCCCATTATCTGGCTTAAATGTTAATTAATCATTACGTTTTCAGTAAAGAATGCACATGTATGGCCTCCTTTTTAACACCAGCATACTTGCGCATAGCTGGCCCATCAACGAGTCACACCTCTTTCGAGAACACCACGATCACCATCGACAACATAGAAGATTACAGAAGTGACGAGAACTTTTTTAAAAACCTACTCGGAAAGAGAGTGAGGCGCGCGCCATCTAGTATCAAAATCTCGAACCGTCAGTGGCGGGAGTTCATGCAATGGGCGAATAGCACTGGTTTTGGCATAGTTTTCGCTTTGAATAATGTGGATAGGACATCGTCTGGATTGTGGGAACCGAATTCTGCACTGACTGCGTTGAGTTTGGCTGAGAAAGCGAACATAAAAAATGTGATATGGCAGTTGGGGTATGGTTAGTCAAATTAACAATTTTTATTGTAAACTTTTTTTTTGTAATTTTACTTATTAATAAAATAAAATAAAATAAAAAATTTCTGGCTCTACTAGAAAAGACAATACTGGTATTTCAGAATGCAACAACAGGACTATAGAAGAGTATTTGAACGACTTGGAGACCCTCCGCGTGTTGATGGAGACGGTCCAGGCGGGCAGGGAGCTGGGCTGGAAGGTAGCCGGCGGTGACGTCACCGGGTGTCTGACACACGCCAGCGACTTTAGAGATTACTTGGAGTTAGCGGTTGATATGACTGAAGTGCTACTACTCAACGGGTGAGCATTTTGATCAGAGGCACTAGTTTTTGCAGCTCCGTAAAGAATCGTGATCGTCAAATTTTGTATGGAAAAAGCTAGGCTGTTCTTACGCCCGATAATTAGTTTTAATATAAAGGAGATTGCTCAAATTGGCCTAAATGTACAAAAAATATTGACATATACGGTAATTCTTGGCGTAATTTATACTTTACTAGCTGACCCAGCGAACTTCTTACCGCCCTAAAAAAATAGGGGTTGTCCAGTGGACAAAATTGTGAATCTAAACCATTCTCAGATCCCCTTGAACACACACAAAAAATTTCATCAAAATCGGTCCAGTCGTTTAAGAGAAGTTCAGTGACATACACACTCAAGATTTTACAGTCATTAGATTATAACGGACACCTTTGTATAATATATTATTATTATTATTCATTTTAAAAAGTACTTATATTTTTACCGGTTTGGAAAGCATACGAATCATTTTTAATGGCTATGAGTGTAGTAACATTCAGCCAAAGAGTGATCGAAGTTGTTTATATAACATCAAAACAAATCTATTATGTAAAGATTGATAAAATAAAACACTTTTGTTTATTACACTGTGGTATTAATATCCACAAGTATATTATCATTTTTACTACATGCAAATGTGCTAAGACCAATATTATAGATGGTAGTCGACATCATAAAGTCTATTGCCATACAATTTTCGCCAAACACCTCCATAAACACATTATAAAGTGTGATACTCTAAAAATCTAAAATATGGTTATAATATAAACATAACAAAAATAATAAGCTTTCTTTAGTAAAAATTCTCTCTAATCTGTGACTCATTCACAAATAACACACATTTTCTGTCACAGAAATGTACCTTATTGTAACCGGAAATGCATAGATGATACCTGATTTTAAAGTTAGTCTTATGCATTAACTTTAAAAACAGGCAACTATCTATCAATCTACATGTTTTATATACCTGAATCTAATATATAATTTCGTTACTTATTTGTTTTTTATTATTTTAATACCTATGTACCTATTTGCAAACAACCTCAAAATCATTCAGTGTATATGGTTTATAGAAGTTCTCAGGGGTGTCCGTCAATAATATTCGTTTCTACAGTAATGTATATATAATTTCGAATCTAGGAAACAATTTTTCATGATTATTGGTCTTTAGGCCAAACATGTACGATGGCATCCCTATGTTACGGAGCTGTCAAAACATCTGCTTGGGCCTCTGAACAGTGTGGCCATAGTGTAAAATCTATTTGTGAGTGAACTTCTTTATATCGGTGCTAAATGACTGAGCGACGAAGCATCGGGGCTTTGGTACTAAATGCGCTAAAATTAGCATTCGAAGTTTGAATTAGTTTTCTCGTAATGAATTATTGGGCTGCGTGTCTATAGAAGCAACTTTAAGTATCCATTTTAGTACCTACCAAAGCTTTGTAGCGCAGTCGCGGGAGTCCGACTAATGCTAGGAGAGGCTAAGGGAGAAATTTGTTTGGAATTAGGAGAAAGGCTATGATGGTTGCTACCTTATCTAAGCTCTGCTTACTATTACAAATAAGAGAATTTTACTAGAAAATAATCCACTCGGTCAAGACCAAATAGCGGAAGGTGCAGGCTTGAGTCCAGTTTGAAGCCTGGACCGAGTGAAATATTTTTTTTAGATTTATAAGTATAATATCAATTAAGCAACTATTAATTACAGCAACTCCACGACAAAAGAGTTGGAGCGCATGAGTGATTCAGAACGCTTGAAAGTGGTGTCCACGCTGCATCACAGTCACACTCCGCTATGGATAACGGACCGGCCTCAGTTTGAAGACGAGTTCTCGCGAGCTGCCGACTGGATGGGTAGCCTCGGGTACTCTGCCAGGAATGGCTTCTCGGTGCATTTCCGGGAGATGATGCCGGAAGAATTGTACGAACCCACTCTGGTAAGCTATATAGAGATATACATATAACTTTACAGTTGCCCCACAAAATTTCGACACCTGCAATGAAAAATATCGTAACTCGGTTTATGGCCATTTTCCTCCCTCCTTCCTTTCTTGTTTATTCTTAGTACTTGTTTTGCATTAGAAGTTAAAGTATATCGGCTAGATTTTAATTTGTTTTCTTTTCGACTGAGTTGCGATATATTATCCTTGCTGCCACTTAGCACCACCACGATATATAATTTTTTTAATTGTTTTTTTATCACTCTCAACTGTCAAACTATTATGGAGCTTGACAGTTAATCCTGTGGTTAATCAATCTATAGTCTGACAGTTAAAGGATCTCACAGACAGAGGCGGCCTGCGGCCGTGGCTTGTCCTTATTGTTCGCTCGTGTATGACCACTCGCCTACAATGCAAGCGAATACAACTGACCGTCGGCCGCAGGCCACGGCTGTCCGTGAGACACTTTGAGCGTGATAAAATGCGTGACTAGATGACCGGATACAGATAGGTTCATAAACTACCCGTCTCTTTAATTACAGAGTTTCTACATGGCGTTGCTGTACAAAAACTTAGTAGGCGAGCGAGTGTTGCCCATAGACTTGGATTCTGCTCAAGCGACGTTGTTCGCTCACTGCACTTCCTTGAGGCATCGCCCAGTGCCTAGAGCCATCACGCTATACGGCCTGAACATCCACAATGAGCCCACTAGGTTGTCTGTCAAACTCACGAAGAGGGAACAAGGAGGAGAGGTCATGCAGTTCATTATCAAGCAGGATGACGGCGGGTGAGAGAGCTTTTATAGTTCCGTACTCAAAGGTACAAGGTCGCACTGCCTGTCTGTCTGTAAGCGGTTTGTATCTCAAGAACCGTAATAGGTAGATAGGTAGTTAGAATTTTCACAAAATGTGCAGGTTTTTTAAATATCGATTGTTGTATTATCTAAGTACGTATGTGTTTTCTAGATTGTGATTGACACGAGTTCCTAATACAATTAATAACATATAAACTACTAGCAGCATTAATTAATTGTATACTATGAGCAATGTGCACAGTGCTATGTAAATAAACAGAGATTTAAATAAATAATTACGATTTTTACCGCTATAGCAACAATTAACAAACTTGTAATTGAGTTAAATAAAGGAGATCTCCATACGTGAGACTACTGTGTTGTAAATGCTATTGTAAAATTGTAGGAAACCATTTGTATGCACGCCCAACTTGAAATAGCATGGTCAATATCTTTGTTAAAATCTTAAAAAGCAACAATTTCAGACGGGACTCGCACCTGCACCCTCCACTATCCGGGCGGATGCACTGACCATTATGCTACCGCGGCCCTAATTGTCCGTGTCGAATTTTCTCTAAGTATTCTTAGCATTTCTTAGGCTGGAAGGCAGCGCCATCTTTTCGCATTGTTACCTAAAATGCAACAATATACCTACAAAATTCGGGTTCGAGTCCCGTGGAACTTTTTCTAGTAAAATTTTCTTTACATTTAAATATGTAGCAGTTATTTACTTAAAGAATAAAAAATATATTACAATTGCTTCATGTGATGTCAATTGTGCATGGGGTCGAATTGTGAGGAATGACTGTGCTAAGGCAGAGATAGAAACGTGTAGTACTAGACACTTACATCATACCGGCTTGAACGTGGTTCTTTTGAATATATATGGTGATCAGAAAACCTTTTTTACGGAGGGAAACAGAACTACAGATACCTATCTATTAGCAATGTATGGCTGCAGTTTACAGTAAAGAAGAGGAAAAAAAGTTGAAAATTAAACAGAATATCAGCTGGCTTATACATGAACTAAATACCTAATAACTTATGAATTTTGGCTTATCTTTCTTTAAAATGGTAACTGAATTGTATATTTTTTTATTTCCAGGGATATCATTGTGAACGGCCGGGCTATGTCAAACGAAGGCGACATTCGTCCTGTGGTCAAACGCGTTCGTCCTTACAAAACTCTCCTTATCCATTTACCTCCTAAATCATTCGGATTTTGGGTACTTTCTAACACTAATATTGAAGCGTGTCAAGATTACGAAGACAATGATGAGAAATTCGTAGAAGCCGAGCAGATAAACACAAATTATGTTGAAGAAGGGAAAGAAAAGAATAAAGTTAGAACAAAGCGTTTCACATCTGCTGATGATTTCAATAATGATTTGTATCAAGATGAAGTAGGCAATGATCTTGATAATAGTATAGATGCTGTGCAACTTAAAGATATGATAAAGAATTTGAATAGTGAATTAAAGAGTGCTCAAAACTTTTTTAAGCAACACTCAGAGAATAGAGTGCGACGTCAAACCACTGATGAAGTCAAAGGAACAAGAAAATTGAGAAGGCAGCTATTCAAACCCAAGAAAGAGAATAAATACGAGGATTTAGAAAATAAACCAATCCTAAACTTAATTGGTAACTTAATGCAACTTTTTGGAAGAAACAATACAAAAGTATTAAAAAAACCATTACGCTTACACAAAAAACGCTATGAAAATAGATATCATTATGAAAGATTTAATAATGAAGAAAGCAATGATAATACTAAGAGCTTAAGAACTAAAAGAAGTATAATTGGTGACAATAATCCTAATCGTTACTTAAATGAAGATCCATCAAAAGTAAACTTTAATGACAATGATAATATTAATAATACGCAAGTAGTGAGAGCACTCAACGATATACAGGATCAATTAGAGAAAATGATCACAGTTAATTCTAATAATAAAACAAAAGAAAAATCAAAAGAAAGGGAAAATCTTATACTCCAAAATGAATTTTCGGATAATAGTGCTTTTATAAAATTCAGTGAGGCTCCTGGACATGCCCTAAAGACTAGTATTGAGAATCTGTTAGCTGTTCTGAAAGAATTGAATTGGAATTTGCAAAAAATTTGGACTGCTATATCGGATTTGGAAGATTCCTAATGCATTTTAAGTACCACCAGTTACCATAATTGTATTGTGCGCGGGTGACCAGTGACAGATTGAAACAAACAAACATGTTAATGAAAATATTAATGTTCCTGTCAATATTAATAATAAATGTAATGTACTTTTATTAAATATACTTGTTTGTGAGTAAGATCTATAACTTTAAGAACTTGTCTGAGAAATTGAGAAAACATACATAATTTTATTTAACGAATTAACATCTCTTAATATAAATTAAACTTTTTTAAAATAGGTTCCCATCCATACTTTGACCTCCCTTTTCACCCTCTCGAAGGGTGATTTCTGGTATAAAAACTATCATGTGTCCTTTCTTGGCACTAAAACTATATCTGTTCCAAATTTCATCGAAATCGGTTCAGTGGTTTAAGCGTGAAGATGTATATATTAACATGGATTAATTTTGTTAACTTAGCTATATGCTAGAGAGACTAGGGAAGGATAACTAAATAAAAAACTAAATTGAAAGTAGCTCTTTGCTTGTAGAATACAGAAAAACCTATTTATTACATAAGAAGTTAATAATAATTATTTATAATTATTATAAACAAAATAAATATTTAAGGGAACCCCACACAACAGACGTGATTTTTTGCCATTTTGCTCGACATTATAATACAACTAGCAAACCAGTGAACCAAATGTTCACCAAAACCTGATTTAAAAAAAAAAATGTTTTTAATTAATTGAGAACTTCGGAGATTTTGTGTGGTTTCGTTTGAAATTCGTGATTTCTCGAAAACCGGAAGTGCTACGTTCCTCAAATCCGGTTTGTAGTCTTATCAGACTATTCTTAACTTGTAACTTAAATATTCTCTTTATCTATCTCTTACGGTTTGGCCGCTGAAACAGCACCACAGACGGACGGACGGACTTGTCTAATAGATAAGAAATCTACGAGTGCACTAGTCCGCTTCGCATTGACCGGTTTTTAGAGTTCTGTAGCCAAATGACAAAAAAGGAACCCACATGGATTCGCCATGTCTGTCTGTCCGTCCGTATGTCACAGCCACTTTTTTCCGAAACTATAAGAACTATACTGTTGAAAATTAGTAAGTAGATGTGTTCTGTGAACCGCATTAAGATTTTCTCCCAAAAATAGAAAAAAAAACAATAAATTTTGGGGGTTCCTCATACTAAGAACTGAAACTCAAACATTTTTTTTTCATCAAACCCATACGTGTGGGCCATCTATGAATAGGTCTTCAAAAATTATATTGAGGTTTCTAATATCATTTTTTTCTAAACTGAATAATTTACGCGAGAGACCCATCCAAAGTGGTAAATTGTGCCCCCCCCCTCCACCGCACTGTGACTTCTAAAATAAGAGAATGATAAAACTAAAAAAATATATGATGTACAGTACCATGCAAACTTCCACCGAAAATTGGTTTGAACGAGATCTAGTAAGTAGTTTTTTTTTAATAATTACTTAATTTAAAAAATACTCTGTTATTAAAACATCAATCAAAGTTACAACGAACTACAAGTACTTTTATATTATGTTACTTGATACGGAACCCTTCATGGGTGAGTCTGACTCGTACTTGGCCGCTTTTTTTGTATTACAAACGGTACTGCCTAACAAGTTACTTTTTAGTAAACTTACATAATCCATGTTTCTCATAACAACTCACAATATTTATTTAATCTATATGATAAAGAAGTGCATGCCTGACCTATACAGTACTCGATCTATTCTTGTTGATGCGCAGTTGTTTTATTCTGAATTAATAATAAATAATTTTAAACGTAACCATTTATTGTAAACACTCCTCTTCGTAAGCATTAGTGACATGTATCGCTGTTTTGAGTTGAATCACGTTTTGTCGCGAAAACGCTTACTACCCCTAAAACATGAAGTTCAGGTAGTCTGGTCTTTCGCGCAGGGTACTTTTTTTTGTGGGCCTGTGTTATTAATCTAATGTTACAACACAAGCTTAAAGCATGTTAGAGAAATTAAAGTATGGCTGTCTGTAGACCCCTAATCTATCTGTCTGTATCATGAATATTTTTAAATAACAACTAATGGATTGTTTTACAAATTTTCTTAACATTGTTAGTTATAGTTAGACTTTAATTTATAGATATTTTGTTATACTGAATAAACTAAATACACATTTTTTACAAATTGACCTAACAATTTAACTTTTATTCGTCTAAGATAGTACCAAGAATTTTGAATTACCTGAGATTTACTAGCGAATTCAGACAACGACTTGGGTAATACATCCGCAAAATATTTTTTTGTAATAAATTATTTATTTTGAAAGCTGTCGCCAAGCTATCGAAATAATTGTACAAATTTTAATTGTCATCAATTATTTAAATAAATCTACTTGTAGCTCAGTTTCGGATTAACGAACCTACTATATAAACGGATAATAATTGTATATAAGTATGTAATATACAAATGTGCGCAATTTATAGGTTATTTTGTAAATGTAATGCGTGTTATCTGATCTCACTATTTTTATATTCCCATACAATTTTTAGTTCTATTTTAAAATTTTAAGCATTTCATTGCTAGATGTTATATCTAAAGAAAACCATCTGCGCCACGACTGCGTGGATTATTTTCTAGTAAAATTTTCTTTATATTTATATTTTTTCCTTACCATCTGTCTGCGACATCATTATGGAGATTAGAACAAGTCATCTGTACACAGATACTTAATTTTTTAACCTTGAAGCCTACGGACGTTAGAACAACAGTAGAGCAGAGAAGAAAGACCCACCTAGCGATTGTTTATACCCTTAATCAAACAACGTAGATAATTACTAATTTTAAGTATTAATTATGTCTTGATATATGATGTGTTATGGAGGAGCTCGATGGCGCACGTGGTTAGCGCATTCGACCTGCGATCGTGAAGGATAAGCAACTTTTGCAATGGCTGGTAATTGGATGGGTGACCAAAAACATATTGTCTAAATCTCCTCCGTGCTTCGGAAGGCACGTTAAGCAGATGGGACCAATCTGCATCTGTAGTCATTAGCACCCAGTAATGGCCAATGTCCCCAGGCCTGCGTGGTCTTTCATGGCCCAGTCTCCCTATTTCATCCATAGTGGAGGCTGTGCTCTCGGACTGGGGACAATAATAGGCTGATTATGATGATGAATTATGTGTTTATTATTATTCAAATTAATTCCAATTTATGACGTGAAACGAAACCTGTATGTTAGTTTCGCAATCATGTTAACCATATTATACCTACCTACTTACTTTTCTTTAGAATCAGTAGATTTTCCATATTGTTTCCTCGAAGATCATTCACCGAAAGGGTGCGAGTCAGTTCTAATGCGATGCCAAGCAAGACTACACACGCACCCGTGGGATCTTGGTGGTGGTATTGTCTGTAGTTTTAGTGGATAGGGCCCTTGTAAGGCCTCGCTAATTTCATCGATATTTGAGCTGGATAAACTGAGCGAGGAGGAGTCCTCACATAGGAACCCCTGTAGCAAGGAAGGTGATACGCCTTTATCAGACACAAAAAAACGTCACGTCAACGTCGTGACGACTTCCGTAGCCGAGTGGTTTGTACGCCGGACTTCATGGTGTCGTCGACCTGAGAGGTCCCGGGTTCGAATCCCGGTGGGGGCAGATGTTTGTGTGATGAATACGAGCATTTGTACTCCAGTCATGGATGTTTTAATATGTATTTCTATATAAATACACTTAAATATGTACAGTATATGTATTCCATCCGTTACCTTAGTATCCCAAAGCAACAAGCTTTAAAGTGCTTAATTTGGGGCTAGGCGAATTGGTGTGAGTGTTGAAAATATTTATTTATTTAATTTCATCGAGTTTTTGAGCTGGGTAAAGTGAGCGAGGAGGAGTCCTCATATAAGAACCCCTGTAACAAGGAAGGTGACACGCCTTTACCGGACACATAAAAGGTATGTTATAAAATAAAAAACGAAAAGGTGGTACAATGTAGTTTATTTATTATTTAACAACATGGTAGATGAACCACTTTCACATTCGCCACGCAGTATAGTTCACATGAAAATGGCTATCTCTAGACTTTATACATAACTAATAGGGATCTCAAAAAATCAATGTAACAATGCCGCGCAACAGTAGGACCAAATCAGTGTCAGCGAACAAGCCTCCTATATACGAAACTACCTATGTGACAGTAGAGATAGTTGTGAAACTGAAACTAATACTTATAACGATAAAGATAATTATCGTATGGCAGTTTTTTATACAGCCCCAATCATAGCCAACGGAAAACTAACTTATGATTAACAACAAGGTTTCACAGAAGCTCAATCCGATTATTTACCTAAAAACATTTTCAACAATAACCTCTTTTTTTTCGTTTTTCATCCATAATTCTAAGTTAAATGTTATCGTGGATAAACTACTAACCTTTTTCTTTATAATAACAATACAACATACGTATGAACCACGTTCATATAGAGTACTTTTTAATGGTTTTTCCCGAAGTTCATTTCATATTTTTTGTCTTACACATTTTTTTTATCTTAATATTTACTTCAATCGGTAAATTTGCAATTTTAACACTAGATGTCACTAATATTAAAAGCTAACGCACTAAAAGTGATCAATAATATATTGGCTGACGACTATAAACTACATTTGAACAAACGATTGGCGCATTCGCAAAAGTAAAATCATTATCGATATATTCCTACTCATCATTGTAAACATTTCGATCAAGTTACGATTCGATATTTACTTCTACGAATGCTCGTCAATAAATTTGAAAATTCTATTAATAACCATACACCACATTTGAATAATTGCCGGGACTGTGTATAAATGGATCCTAATAATCGAAAATAATTTCCAAGCCCATACTTAACAGCAAAGTGGCACTTATAGATCAGTTCTCGTGTCGGAATCTGTATACACTGTCCCGGTAGTAAAAAAATCTATTCCAAATTATATTATGTCAATATAACGTTTGCGTATTTAAGTGTAAAAGCTCTTGTGTTAGTGTGGTACGTAGTGTCGTTGTCTCTAATTTAGTCTAATTCATTACAATCACCTGACCCCGCTTATTCTGTAGCTATTACATCAGAATAATTTTTTGAGCGACGACTGACTACTGTTCCGTTGTTTCCATAAATTTTTTTGAAGTGTTCATAGATGTTCAGAAGTGTTTCTATCACAATTTCCGTGTTGTATGCAAGTATAACTCTATCTCAAGTATAGTATTTAGTCAGTTGGTTACTCATTCGTCGCCACTCACATCTTTAATCAGAAATGACACAATGTCATATTTGTAACTAGCTTTGTGGAACTGAAGTGATATTGGACAAAAGTTGTTTAAGTTACAAAGACAAAAGGAGTAGGTTTCAAATATGACACCTAATCATCGACTTTTGGCTTCAACGCCAATACCTAACGTAACTTCTAGTGCAACTATCAATAGGCTAATTTATTAATAAATTGTTTAACAAGGTATGTATTAAAATGTATAAGTCTACCATTTCATAATTCCTCTAAGGATTAGGAATAACAGTGAAAACTTTTAAACCTCCTACTGCTGAGGGAGAGGAACTGGATAAATTCAAGACAAGATCAAAGATCACTATCACTTAAAGAAGATATAAAGATGAAGCCATTCAAGGCCAAAAAGTCAGCCGATCTAAGTTACTAACTCAATATACATATATAAATAGACAACAATAATAGTCGTAGCATATATATATTTACCCTGAGTATAGAAGTCATAAGATCAAGTAATTCAACTGATTAATTTTGTCGAGGAAAATCTAAAATTGGTCACATTTAGATTACTTAAAAAATATTCTAACGGCAATAATAAAAATGAATTTATATTCCGATTTACGTACATTTACGTCTAAGCTACACATCTACCTTGTATAAACCTCTTTATAAATTCATTATAATTTATTTTAAAGGGGAAAATAAAGCTATCTGTTGAGTGCTGGGGTAATTAATTATAGAAAAAAGACTATAGGTGAAAGACCATGTGGGTTGGAGATCGTTGTGTTACTGGCAGGTGAGACGTTTGAGTAACAGTGATGATGTAGAGGTAACTCTGTTCACGCATTCGACGTTTCGAATTCGTATTAATAACATCAAAAATTCTAAACACCGATATAACAAAAATTTCCACATTAATCCAACAAATCAACAACCATTTGATATCACCCAAATTCCTTTCATATATTGCGCACTTAAGCAACGTTATGACTAATTACAATATTTACTATACACCGAACATCAAAAGCTTAACATACATATACATGTAGAAATATGGCTTTACTGAAGCGTCTAGGCAGAGGACCGTCGTTGACCACAGACACAAAATAAAGACGTTGAAGAGAAAACGACACTGGAGCACACTTCCCAAGAGCTTACGAGTACACGTTATCCAAATGTTTCATGCAAACAAGTAACTTTTTCAACCGGTCGTTTCGTTTTAAATTAGTGACAGTTAGCGAATTTATTCAAATATATTAAGTTGTAACTAGACTTCGCTACATATCAAAGTAACATTCTAAACTACTATTTTCTACTTAAATGAGAGTCAACAACGAAGAACACAGTCTAATGTTAGATAGGTGAAGATAGATAAAAGATTCTACTGGGTAGATTTATTAAATAGAAGTAGCTAACACATATAGAAGATATATAGAAGGGAATACATTAGGTAGGCTTAATATGGAGAGATTAAGATACAAGAAGGATCATAGGTGTGAATGAATATTTTGGTCATGTTAAATCATAGAAAAATCGACAGGTCTGATTGAATCTTACAAGCTATTATTGTTTATTTCGAATAACTACGAACAACCGTTTAGCTAGAAATTGCCATGCACATACATTGAACTATTTTTTTGTAATATAATATGATAAACCTAGGCTAACCACAAATACACTGTGAAAGTTTAAAGTTATACCTTACAATTAGAAGAGATTGTGAAGATGAAGATGGACGGGTCCAATGGCTTTCGCTAATGTCCATTTCAGGTGCCCATCTATGTTCTTTAGATATATTTAGTATATAGACTATGATAGCTATGCGTGCTCAAAATAAGGTACTATCGAAACAAGCTATGAAAATATAGATACATCAATGTGCATAACAGTGCGAGAAAATATGTTGAATCTTATATATCAGAAAATAGTAGCATTCTCAGTAAATAATCAGAAATTATTGTTGTATTTGTAGTATTTACATTAAGTGTATATTGAATAGTATTTTTAAGAACTGATTTTGCAATTAACAGTGTGAGGATAGGTATAATTGACCAAAGTTTAGTTAACATAATGACGATGCAAAAATATGTCTTAATTGAGAAGTGTAAAAGCAAATTCATTAAGCGTTGCTATCAAACAATACGTCAATAGTTCAAATTAACTTAAATTAAAGTGGAAATACATGATGTGCTGTTTTCAAGTAAGTCAGTCGAGATCGGAAATCTACTAGAAGATAGAATAGCGGTAGAGATGGTGGTGATGATTTATATTTAAGTAATAGATCCAAAGTAGAAGAAGCTAACGAGAAAATTTAAAAGAGCGCGAGCGGTCAGGCCGCGTTTGGCGCACAGCGTTAGTTTTATTATTCATATATCACAGCTTTTGACGATAACAAATCTTTTGCATTTGTAGCTTAAGTGGAGTTAATTGTTCGAACAATTAGCTCTGTTCTATGCCAAATGGCTTCAAATCTGCACCAGCGTTAGGCAGCATCACCTACAAGCCTTTGTGTCGTTGTGTCACGCCGTGTATTTTGTACCTAGATGACTTTGTTCTTTCAGCATACTCACCACTGCACCAAAGGGCTATAATCGCTCGAAAAATTCGCTCACACGATGTGTTAACTTTATATCTAAGCGTAAAACATCGATAAAACATTAGATTTAAACCACGTCGCGTCAACTACGCTATTGGTTCAACGGTAAAACAACGAGAAGAGTGTTATCTACATTTCTTTACACATTATTTACGTCTAAACGAATATTGATCTTATATTAGACATGCAGAACAAAATGGACGATACCAAATCTGTGAATGACACGACCGTACAATTCGGTCTTCTCAGATTTGCGTCGGTTTAACAATACGTCTTGTACCTATTTTATGTTCGATGTGGTTATTAAGGCTAGGACGATTACTGGTATGTACACCTAAACAAAATACACTGACACAATATCGATTTACACTGCATAAGCACGCATGCAAAAGATTTAGAGGCAAAAGTCGAAGAATTATTTAAAGTGTGAAAAGTTAGCGAAGAGCGAAGCCACGTAGTTACAGCGCCGGCGTTGGACATCGTAGTTTTGTACCGGCGATACCTAGTAGAAGTACGTCAAGCTCACGGAATTTGGATGAAAACAAATATCAGAAATACATTGTTATTTCAATGTAAATTTGAACTCTCGAAGTAGATGAGAATAGATGAGATAGTGTTGACTTAGTTACACAGTCGAATTTTGAGTACCTACACGCGTGCTAAACTTCCTTAAAATACTTTTCTCCTCCTTTAATTAATATTACACCGTTTTTTTTTCTCTAGTTGTATTTATATTTATTTCCTCATTACACTTAAATAACAATATATCACAAGCGTCAACATATAAAACTGGATTGTTTCACACTACGTAGTGGTGTTGTTTCTGTCCAGGTGACTTTTTGACCTTCGTCTGAACGCGCTTCTTTAATGTTATGTTCATGGGCTGCTCTCCAAATTTTTTTATGAATGTATAAAAATATTATTGCTCATTATTAAGCACCAACGCGCCACTAGCCAACTACAAAATTTAGAATTCGAATCTCTCCTACACAAAAATCTTGAGCGCGAATGATACTGTTCCCGAACGTAATACTTTTGTGTCATCCTTTTGTGGGGGGAGAGGGATGGGGGCTGGGGGTATATCGGTATGAATACGGATTGTGAAACATCGTCATAACAATGATCTTAGCAGCTACATCATGTATTCGGGTAATGGTATGGTAGAGCGGTGCCCGCTCACTGCATCACACATTTACTCTCAATCTGTGACTTCAGTTCGTTCACTTGCGTTTCGATGGTGTTTTTCAACTCTGGAAGCAGAAATAAAGTAAGCTTTAAGTTTTAAAATGATAAATAGACTAGAAAAAAACATAGATATGTCATTTTTTATACAATAAGTATGCCTATCTCAAATAAACATTGTCATAGATTGTTTGAAACTAAAGAGAGCTATTGTAATGATTGGCCAAATATTTGTTTAAATTTCTATATTTTTTAAAATGTTGTCGTCAATGATACTAACTAGTGAACTCATCCTGGTCTTCTAGTTCTGCTTCCGCGGCGAGCTCTTCGGGAGTCTTCTTCTTCCTCATCAGAGGGTTGTCCGGTTCCATCGGCTGCTGCTCCACCACCTCCTCTTTCTTAGGGATTTTGTACTGGAACACGACAAAGAAGAAATATCAGCCCCAATAACAGCAAAGATTTTAAATCAAATTTAAATGTCTGTCATGACTAGACTTCATTCTATTTACATTTGGCTTTTTTAAGAATGTTCAAGTAGCCAATAGAATTTTCTCAAGTGTGAAATTATGGTAAAGTACCACACCACCATCTAGAGGCTATTATAGTTTGGGTAAGTGATGTACCAGATATCACTGTTACGTTATCAAATAACTACTCACGAAAGACACACTCTAACATAAAATAGAAACGAGAGATGTAAGTATTAGAGTTTAGGCTTAAAGTGCCTGAAACTTTTCTCGTTCAATTCGTAATATATTTTGCATTGGTACTCTGACGTAACCGCTCTACGACGCGGCGTCCAAAATGCCGATCTCGGAAGCCTCATGTTACCATTCTGATTTCCCAACGGGAACCGCGTTCGATTTTCAAAAGTTGTGTTACCAGCAAATGGATTGGTACCTACTTCCAATGTTAACTGTGCCAAAGCATCTCAAATCCCTTGCGCGATTTTTATTTATTGCCAAGACCGATATAAGGAGCTTAATTATAAAATAGAAAATTACATTCGAGAGAATCGCAACAATCCTCTTTCGTTTTAATCTCCAATTGAGAGCATGCAACCGCGCCCACTCGGTGTGGCCAGATAGGAATTCATTTTAATTTTAAAGACATCTCTCCCGATGGCATCCCCAGAGATCTCATTAAGGTCGTGCCGTTTCAATAACCAGCTAAATAAAGACGGAAAGTCTTAAAGTCTTCATTTAAAGATAAAGGAACGCGATCTTCCTGTGGCTCCGGTAGTTTTAAAATGAGTTTAACCTTTTTGATTCCGCTACCGCTAAAAAGAAGACTCTTGCTTAATTATGTTTACTATATTGCTACAAGAAACAGTCTTAGTTTTGTCTTGAAATAGCCCTAATGTATATTTGTATCAATAATAAAGCGGAGCTGTGGAGTGCTGTAACTGCAGTAGAACATTGCGCTGTTGCAACTTGAGAATCAATACTTCTAAAAGAAGCATTACTTAGTATAGAGCTTAAATAAAAACGTGTTTTCTTTCATGTTATTCAACTGAAATCTTTAATGAGGTGGATGGTTACTTCACCACCTGGATGCTTCAATATTCGCTGTGCCCTACAAAAGCTTACTTATTTTTTTATAAAACTAATAAAATACCTCTTATAACCTAGTCAATAATTCAACGCTTCTAGGAAACATCAAAGCTGGAAAACACACAAATGATTATTTCCAATTTGTAGCAAAGAGGAAAAACATGAAATGAGTTTTTTGCCGTCGCCGGAGATATTCAATATTATTTGGTGCCTACTTATGTTCTTTTATATATATGTGCGATATATACGATTGGTAGCAGTGTGGTGTGAGTGAAATCTTGATGGCGAGTTCATTGCCGAACTTATACATAATTTTTATGGAGATTTTCTCATATAATATGTTTCAATTTCTCAATTAAAATTTTCCTTAATTCATTTATTTGATGGCAGACACGGTTTATATGATCCGAATGATGAAGAAGCAACTTGTAGGTCGCCAAGGTAAGCATGAAAGGGAGTAGTCATAGCGACGCAAACGTAGTTTAACGTACACACATATAAAACAAAACTGTAACTACGACACTCACACATAAACTATGTCACAAATATATCGCTAAATTCTGCACACATATATCATCTGTATGCACAATTTCTATGCTCAACTCGACAAAGGGGAAATCTGGGTATGCCTACTCCCTTCCTGGCCACGTCTGCCTCGTTACTCTATGCTGGTGTGGCAGCTAAAACTGCTGCACAAGCTATTAGCATCCGTTTAGTGGCTACATACAAATTAGCTGCATAATTTACAAGTTCGAACTTATAAATACTGGCAAAAGTATGGCAATTAATATATGAGGAGCTCGCGAACTAAACGGTAATATTACGCATTAGGTCAAACTACTTTTTTTTAACAGTCCGGAGGTATCGGGACCGTTGAATTTAAATCTCAAATAATTTTTAATCAAAACCGCCTAAAACAGTGTTAAAATTACTACTAGAGGTCGCCCGCGACTTCGTCTGCGTTAACTTAGTTTCTCGAAAATCCCCCTGGAACCTAACATTTATCGGGATAAAAGTAGCCTATGTGTTAATCTAGGGTGTCAGCTAACTCCATACCAAATTTTATTAAAATCGCTCCAGCCGTTTAGACGTGAAGAAGTAACAAACATACACACTCACTTACTCACAAACTTTCGCCTTTATAATATTAGTGTGAAGTGTGATTAACCATGTCGAAAGCTCAACGGAGGTATTCATTAAATTTTATACAGCTCCTGTAAAATTTAATTTTATACAAATTTTACCGTTTTGTTCGCCAGCTCCTCACATGTTAGTGCAGTATTAATCAATTACAATATTATTTACTAATTTTCTAATAAGTATTTCTTTTTATCAGAGAATTTCTAGAAGGTAAAGGTTACATTGATCTTAAGATCCTAACATATTTTATCTCTATGCTTATATTAGATTTGGTCCTTTATAATTATTAATATTATAATCACCGCATAACATAATTTATGTTGATAAATAATGAAGTTAGATCCCAAGATTAGTGTGGGTAGGAAATAATTAAAGCGGCTATGAAATATGGAGCGGAACAGAATTACCTCCTTAAAGAGCTTAAATATTATGATATGGTGTTTTCTTGCGGCTTTTCTATGTGAACTGAAAGATATTCATAAGGGAAGGAATTTTTATCCCCTTAAACGGGGATTAAAATTACAGTAATCAACCCGTTCATGGGTTGACACTTATTGAAGTGTACTAGTTGGTAAAAGTAAAGTGTAATAATTTCTTAATCTAGGGAAATATTTTCCAAATCCATTTAACTGTTTTTGTGTGATTGACATACATACTGAAATACATAAAAAAAATACCTTATTATATTAGACCTTAAACTTTCAGAGACCGTAAGCAACATCTGATAGGTATAAAAGATCAATTATAATCGTGCAGTTATTTAGTTAACGGATAAAGTTAGCTGATAAAATTCATCAATGTACTCCAATACTGGACAGAAAGTAGTGAAAACATAGGATTCCGCAGCTACTAACTTTTCCGTACAGTGAAAATTTAGCAACCTGTCGCAATTTATTACACACTTTTTTAACAATATGAGAGTAAATTTATTTCTACTACAAGAGACACGCACCTTTAATGATGGTACTATACAATATATAAACATATATAATCAACAGTAAATAAATTTCAATCTTCTTCTTCTTTTCTCCGATCTTCTGCGTTGCGTTAGCCTCAAAGAAGTCAACCTGACTCGATTAGGGAGTCGCGCAGAAGCAACGGACTCCCTACTAGAGTCAATTTAACATCAATGAGCTGCATATCTTCTATTACTTCTTTTTTGTTCTTCTGTTTTCTTTCTGCTTCTGTTTCGGCAATAATTCAGTCCAGAACACGAATTACAATAAAAATATACTAGAATCTAAACGCTATTTCTTCTTTCGAATGATTAAGAGCGGACGCGAGAGACATTTGAGAAATAAGTATTTGAAAAAACTACTGCCGTCGTGCATTGGCAAATACCGTGCGATAGGGACAACAGTAGTTTACGCTAAAAATTGCGTATACAAATTGTAAAATTCTAGGTTTGGCTCTCGATGATTTCCTCCTCAAAAATTAGATATATGTAAAATAAATTTTACCCATAGAATAATTAGTAGTTATACTATGACTCTGTGTTTTGCTTTTTTGTAAATGCTAGTGAAATCTCCACACTAGAAGTCCTTAGTAGGGATATTTTTTTTGGCATTTTTGAGAAGTGTAGTCGAAGTTTTCTAGTTTCTTAAAAACTCAAGTTATCGAAAAAGGAAGACATAGGAGCATAGAATGAGTAAAATTATATTTTATGTATCAAAATATTTAATGATACAAATCAAGGAGAAATAATAAGTCGAGAACGTTTGTATGCCCGCCTCCCCTCTTAATACTTGTAAAATTATTTCGTAAACTTTACTAAAAATCTTTACGAAATTGTGTTTGTATTTTTGTTTTGCAATGACGCAAAGAAAGCTAAACTGAAGCTGTACTCACTTTCTCAGAAACAGATTTTTTCTAACGAATGAATTTTAAACGAAATGTCGCCAGTGACGCAACTCTATTTCATTTTCGAACACGCACATAAAGTTCGGAATCACAAATATTTTTTTTAGATTACCTGTTTTACTTGGAAGCAATATTTTTACGATAAAATTTTTGATGACCTTAAAAGAACCTTCCTTGACCGTGGAGTTGATGCAATCCATTAAATGTCAACCTTAATTTGTCGTTTAACACTTAGAAGTATAATAATAATAATCTTTATATATATAATTCTTCTGTGAGTGTGTATGTCACTGAACTTCTCTTAAACGACTGGACCGATTTTGATGATTTTTTTTGTGTGTGTTCAAGGGGATCTGAGAATGGTTAAGATTCACAAAGACGTGTAGACAGGACAACGTCTGTCGGGTCCGCTAGTTATTATTATAAAATGAAAAGGTAACACTTTCATTTCGTCAATTTGATGTTAAAATCTGTCAAATTCAACTTTTCGTTTGAAAGTTTTGTGAATTAGAGAAGGCGTGGAGAATTTAATAGTCAAACTTTTTTTGAAATGAAAAGGAAGCAGAGTAAGAAACGTGTGAAATTTCGAAAGAAATTTCGTTTTTCGGCGAAATAGATTAGGCCTCCTAGTTTAGCTGAAATTGGCACTCAAGTAAGTAGTTTTTGAGATGTACGATATTTAATACCTATCTTGTAATAAAAAAAAAGTTAAAGCGTAAGCTATTTATTTTCCATTCAACCCAAAGGACACTGTAATAATATAATATTACTCTGGCATAGCAACTCCGAGCAGCGCGGCGGAAACGCAATACGGTCAACGCGGGCCTATCAAAGGATGCCAAAGGTTCAGCACAGTATAC